TTTTTTTTTTTTTTTTTTTTTTTTTTTTTTTTTTTATTAATTTTTTTTTTTTTTTTTTATTTTTTTTTTTTTTTTTTATATTTTTTTTTTTTCCCTACCTATTTAGTAAACTTTCTTTCTTTTGTTAAACTTCTTCAAACATCGATAATTGACAAACCAATAAAAGAACTTCAGATATATTAAATACTGTCGTTGTGGTGTAGTTTTCGCGAGTAGTACAAACTTAAATAAAATACTTTAACGGTTTAAAACCCGAAATATATTAGTTAAACCTGTTTACAAATAACTTTTAACTATTGCCCGACGTCGCGTTTGCTTTGCAAACCCTTAAAGCCTTAAAAATTTCAATTCAGCTTTATTGATGTACATAACATTTCCTTCTTTGTAGCCGGTGAACTTTATCCCGGACGGCGGTCCCGGTAGTGACAATGGCAACGGAGGCAATAACGGTGGCGGGCCCGGTGGTGATTTTTACGGTGGGGGCGGAGGAAGCGGCCCCGCCTGGGGCTACAACCCTCATTGGCACCAGCAGCAACAGCATCAGCCACAGGTCTATTTTTAAATTGAACCTTGTAATCAATGCCACAGCTAAAGTTTGTATTGTAAATATTACAAAATTTAAGATTTTTACTAATAAAAATATGTCAAACGAACCGGAACTAACTGCCTTGATTACCCTACAAAACAATGGATAAATAAAGTCGATATATTTTCAGCAGCAGCAAGTGCAGATCAACCCTGCAACTGGCCAGCCAGATTATTCCCAGCAATGGATAGAATACTACCGCTCCCTTGGGCTGATGCGTGAGGCGACGGCGATCGAGCAGCAAGCCAAACAGCAGCAAATGGGTCTGTATTCATATTTAGTACTTCGCGTGTGTGTCATTATTACTCTACGCTGCGCCTTTATACTGTCAACTCGGTATCGCCTATAATCTATACTAATATTATAAATGCGAAATTAACTCTGTCTGTCTGTCCGGCTTTAACGCCGAAACTACTGAACCGATTTAAATGAAATACAGGTAAACAGATATTCTGGAGCCCGAGAAAGGACGTAGCCTATTTTTTAATGCCAAAAAAGGATTGTTATGGGTTGAAAAGGGAGATGAAAGTTTATATGAAAATTCCTGGTTTTTGAAGCTAGAACAATGAAACATTCTTCTTTTCTTTAGCTTTTTGGAAATGAAAGTGGGAGTGGGAATAATGAAGGAGAGTGGGCGTTAAACTAGGAGTGATGTAAGGTGAGAGTGGGAGAGTTGCGGCAAAGTAGCACTTACAACATAGATTGGCTTCTTTAAATGCGCCCTTTTATAAATTAATAAACAGGATAAATAATTAAAAATTCTACCCAGTCATTATACCACGCGGGCGAAGTTGCGGGCACAGCTAGTTGTTAAATAAATGTTTTAATTTTTCTAATTGCCATCCTTTTACTTTGGTGTATGTATTCTGGATAGGGAAACATTGGTATCACCATATGTCTGTCATACAATTTATTATAAGAATACTTATATATGAGGCCGCTAGAGGCAGAGTAGCCGAGTAGTAGAATCTTTTTATGACTTGACTTATTTATATTTTTATAGTGTAAAAATGTTAATCTACAAGAGCACAACGACCAAAAAATATTAACATCATTTTTACACAAATAATAGTTAAATTAATTATTGAAAATCATGTTTTTTTTATTACGCCACCCCGCCTCTAGTCTCATACCTCGTCTTGCAATATTAAATGTACTATTTTTATAGGGGGAAACCAATCAAACGCACCGAGCCCCAGCCAAGCCAGCTCTGGGCAACCATCGAACACACCGACCACGACCAACGCCAATAACGGTACTGGTGCTGGGGCGCCGGACTACAGCGCGCAGTGGGCCGAGTACTACCGCGGAATGGGCAAGATTAAGGAAGCCGAAGCGATAGAGGCGCAATTCAAGGTCAAGGTAAGATTTTTCTTCATTAAAAAAAAAACATTTCCCTGATTGTTCGGTTGATTTTGCATAAAATATTATTTAATTACACTTAATATCTGTTTAAAATGGAGACAAGTAGTAGTAAGTAAAGTCAAATTATGTATCGGACACATACATAATAGAATATTATGATTTATATACATACATTTGCTATATAGATACATTTGCTCTAATTGTCATATTATGTGTCTAACAGCAGCAGCAAACACAGCAGCCGCAGCAGCCAGCGCCTCCCTCTGGCGGGCCGCAACCGCCAACGCACGCGCCCAGCCAGCCGTCCCCCGGAGCAATGGGGCAGTACCCCCAATACCCGATGTATCCGCCGGTTTACCCCTACCCGTACCCATACGGAAACGCCCCGGCTGAATCCGGACATCAGTAATGTGAGTTTAGACGCTATTATTCTGTTTGATTGGTAAAGGAATCTCTGAACATCTTAAATCAAAGAGAAAACACAGAGTGAGTTTACTTATGTCGACAACCTTTTTTTCTTTAGAAGTCAAAAGAAAGTATCCTTTACTAATCAAAAGTGGCACTGTGTCGTTTGAAATGTGTTATGCTTTGAAACTGCCTCAGCCGTATTGTTATTTATGCATACCTCCATTTGTTAACACATCTCTCATTATTATATAAATTTTAATACTTACTAAATTAAAATAGATGAAATATGAACAACTGTGTACTAAAGATAAAAGCAGTTTTGACATTCAGTGATATGCTTGGTATTTGTTTTGATATTCTTTTGTTATTTTTTTTTATATCCAGTTATACAATTTCTTATGCAACAATCAATATGCCTTGATATATATTAAGTTTTATTTTAAGAATTTTTTATCAGAAGAATACAGGGCTATAAATTAATATTTCTGAGCCAAAAACTTAGTAGCATTATATACAAGTTGTTTATTTCTAAGCATAATATATAGTTAATCTGAATCTAGCTAATAGGCATATTGATTGATTTATATTATATTATTTTTGTATGTTTTTATAACATTTTAAGTTTTTATTGGGGACACATAGCCACGACAGGGACATGTTATAAAATTATTGTTATTTAATTTCACAAAAATACCTATATTTAGTTTTAGTTACTGCAAGTGTAATTATATGATTATACTAATCGAATTAACCACCATTAACAAACTAAAGAGAAGCTATGCTACTAGTAAATAGACTCCCATAATGTTAGATTAGAATAGAACGATTTCTATGCGTCCTCAAATTGTAGTTTCGTGTAAATATCAAGTTATGTAGTCTGTGTAGTGTTGCAGATGTGTAGGCTCGAGGCTGCGGTGCTCCACAACGCTAATTACCAACTACCCTCTTAGTATTTTGTGATTTTTGCCATGTCTCCTCTGTCTGATTACAGAAGCCGGCCGCAGCGCACGTACGGATTGTCACTGAAGATACCTCCTTATAGCTATATCTAATCTTAAGAAAGCGTTCTACGTACAGCCAAAAGTTCACTTCCATTGGGTCCAGCGCATTTCGGCTAAGCAATTTAAAGTTAACGGGTTGCCAACGTTTCGTAACGTAATGCTTACATTCGTCACTATTAAATATTTTAACCTAAATCATTCCATTTAGCGAACAGTTAGTGATACCCGAAGTGCGCCTACCCTCACTATGACATATCTGTTTCGTTCAGTTAATATTGACATTTTTGTATATCTACGGGCGTGTGGACCTATGTATAAGTTGTGTTGCGTTTCCCGATATTGATCATGTCAGTTTGTCCAGGTATAAAATATCCACACAGCCTAATACGATGTATTAGACCGACGGAGCTTAGAGAGACGAAAGAGTTGAAAAGAGATACTTCGCCGCCGGGGAACCGAGGTAAATGCACTAATGAGTGAGTTAGCTTTACACATTGTGATTATTTACTTGATGCGTTATCTCATGGTTTATTCTGTGTATCCCCTTGGGGTTTTTGGCGATCTCATTCGTGACCGTTAATGAACTCGACCTAATGATTAAATTTTCGCTACTGAAATCGTCTAGTGTGCACAGACCTTTAATTTAAATATTGTTTATGTCAACTGTCAACTTTGAAACGCGGTTACAAACTAGCGACTACTTAAAATTTTGAATTATTATATTTAGTTTAAGTTAGGACAAAGTTTCGCGCCTCTTGACAGCTCATTAGGTTACTAACGATCAATTGACGGTAGTAGAATAAAATTTATAATGTACGAGTATTTTCAGAAATTAGCTTTGATAAATCCTAGGTGTGTTATCGGAGGTATGGTTTACATTCCTCGTGAATATTGTTCGACTCTAGGTGGCTCGATAGTTCATACGGGGGTGACTACCCTAATTCATTGTACTAATATTAAGATATAAAGTGTATGTTTAATTGATATTGTGTTCATTTTATTTATAATCACATTTCTCTCCACAGACCCGGAGGTAAGTGACCCTTTCAAATTTACGAATTGGAATTTATGATTTAAACGATGTTTATGTTGATTTAATGATTTGACGAAATATGCAACTTTCTCGATAAACGTGTTCGTCATAGGGGTTATGACTTTTAAGAAAATGATATCTATGTGAAAGGATTTCTATTATTTTGCAATTTTGTGAACGTGTGATTTTTCAGCCTTTTTCTTCACATTGGTTTTTAATTTCTATACATAAGATGTACACTGATTATGTTTTCTGCATTATGGCCGTATTATGTGTGATTTATGTCACTTATACATGTGTTGAAGGTCCTGAAACCCCAATCAATTTCCAATTTAGATACCAAACTGTCTACAGATTGTATGTAAGGCGGTGAACTGCTACTACAGAATAACAAACGTAAGTAAAACATTAGTGAGTGATATAGGTGAGTATAGAATTGTAATAAAAATGTTGATTGACATACTAAATACGATTTGAAATATTGTAGGGTCTATGCCATGATTGATATATCTGACTACCAAAGGGATTATTTTTAAAAACAGGTATATCTTTAATCCATGTGTTTTATTTCTACTTGTATTTTCACTTTTTATTTTTGAAACTTTAATATCTTTCACGTGTTTTGTTGCATATGACAGCGTTATATCTATCTAAATGGATTTTAATTTATTTTTTTATTTAAAAAAACATACGAAACATTACCCTATATTATATAGGAGATTGACAGATTTTTTTTACCGTATATCTAGTAAATTTATGCAGATAGTTTCCTAACCAATTAATGGTTTTCGCAAATTGATATCATTCTTATGTTTATTATATTTTATTTTCGATTAAATCGTTTAGTTTTTGTCTATGGCAATGGCAGAGAGGGTTAATAAAATGTTATATCATATCTGTAGTTTTATTTTTACTATAACATTGTATACGTTTAATGCATTCTTATGTTTGAATAAAATCTGGCAGTTTTTGGTACATAAAAATTATTCATGGTATATTTCATTTAAGAACTTATACACTACAGTGTATCCCACTGTAGCTACGTCTTGCGCAGCATTGCGTTACGCGCAAGAGGTTCTGGGTTCAAATCCTAAGGGAACAATAGGTCGGGCTGGGCACTGAAGGCTATCTTCTACTTGCCTGTAAATAAAACCGATCAGTGGCACGGAACCTTGTGTCCGTCCTACGCCTCACGAGAAAGAACCGGTTTTTCACTACACTACAGTGCGATAGTTAAAAGTAAAAACTACCCTAACGTGACTTAAGCTAATATCTTCTCGGTGTTTCTGGAGAACTTTGGGAGGAGTGAATGGAGGCCGTGCTGGCTGAATGCATGAGCCTAGTGAGTTTTGACAAGTTTGCTGTGGCCCATGGTTCCAGGGGGCTGCCAGTTTGCGGGATTGGGGAAACCCTGTAAATGCATTTTTACGTATAGGCATTATTATACGACAGCCAAACGCCTACTGGTCTCGATGATTTATTTACCGGAGAGAACGTGTCAGATATTTTATAAGTGCTCGGGCGACATCAAACGCGCAACCTCAGGTTCGAAAGTACATCACATACCATTATTGCAGCCCTATTCATGCACTAAGATATTTATTCATGTAATAGTAACCTATTTCGACGTGTTCGAGCAGTCTTGGGTCTGGTTCTACCACTTTGTGGTGGAGCGCTCTCGACGTCCGGGTCGCTACCTGCCCCTGGAAAATATATGAAAATACAATTTTTATAGTCTACTTATTATTATAATATTCGTAAAAAAGAGCTGATGTGATAATTGTATACCTTGAATGAAAAACGAGTGTTCAACTTGAGCCTGTCCAGTTGCGTATTGTATGCACAAAGGGCGCGCTGCTTTCATATGAACGTCACGTTGACCGACCGCCCTGCACAAATATCATGTCTCAATATCGAATCAATTTTTCTCGGCTACCAATCGTGAATTACGTAAGAATCTTCTATTTCTTCGTTAACCATTAAAACTACTGTACTCGTATTTATGCAAAGTTAAACCATAGAAAATTACTTTGATAAGTTATCTCATTATAGGGTAGGAGTTAAAAGACAGGGGTTGAAAAAAGGGGGCAGCATTGCCTACTCACGAATTGATTGTTTCATCCCACGGAGCATCGCTTTCAACTGCGCTACTTTCTGACGCAACCAAGTACATCGATCTGTTAAAAATATAGCATACAGGAAAAAATAACGATTTGTATACAGTTATTTCTTTTTATTCTAAAATTATTGTCCTTAGGACAACAGTTTATTTCACTCATAGAGGGTTTCAGTGACAAATTAACAGCTAATATACTCGTAAACTATGTGGCCCATCCCTAGTACATGTTAATAAAACGTCGCCAAAATTAAAAGAAAATAGTAGGTACTCCCATTTGAATAAATCAACGTTAAGTCTTTAAATATCTTTAAAAAAAAATTGAGTCACCGCCTTGTAGTGTGCGTGCGTATTTTTATGCATTATGTGTCGCAAAAGTTACATTTTATTATTAGAAGGTATATATTAATATTATATTTTAGAATAATATCAGCGTGGAATTAGGAAGGTCGTTGCCTTAAAATTATCCAACATTACAATTGGAATTCAATAATTTTCAAAGTACTTACACTTCCGAATTTTTCGCGTGTTTGTTATCAAACTCTGAAACGGTTCAGGCCATGTAAACGGTTTTATTTCTATCAAAGTTTATCACGATAGCTAGTTTGAATACCTAGCGGGTACGTAAAGATGCGGAGGTGGCGGAGCCGCGCGACGTGACGCCGTTCGTGCCCGCTTAGCACGACATGCGCGGCCAAGCACTGCGCTTTCTATAATACAATTATTTGTACTTCAGAAAACATTAAAGAGATTTTAAAAATCAAAAATAAATTGAAAAATTTTCGACGTGGGCAGGACTTGAACCGGCATCGTTAGCGTTCCGTTCTGTTGCTTTGACGATGCCGGTTCAAATCCTGCCTTATAATTAAAGTGAGCTTAATTTTAGAGAGTGCATGCGATGTTAATTTCTAGTCAATATTGTCATCTCGGTAATAACCTAGACCGAGCCAAGTTGCGCCTTACCAGATATAGGATCGCTATCTGTGTGTTCTTGCCTCTCTCTTCGCCAGCCACTGTCGGGGGGTGGTTGATCAGCGGCCACCCCAAATAGCCCTGACACTGCACCAGCAACCACGAGACGTGAAGACTTAACTGCGCTCTGAAAAGTTGATCTCATCACGAAACTTAATGTCCTTTTTTATGATAGAGAAAGACAGATAAGCTGGTGGATGAAATATCTCATCCATATAACAACTATATATAATACGCTGTCGACCTGTTTTGGTTTGGGACAACCGATCAGAAATCACAGACTGAAACCGAAATGCGATTAAACTGCACTGTTTTTTTTTACTGGGGGCGGTGGTTCGGCACTCGAACGGAATTTTGATATTTCTGATATCAATGTAATATCCAGAAGTCCAACGTGTTTTAGATTAATTTTGGACCCAGAACATGCACCCACGAACCAGCGTTAATATCCATTAATAAAGTACGTAGGTACATTTATATTGTTTGAAAACTTTATTATTTTTTTACATATTATTGCACAGGAAGGCACTATATAATTTCAAAATCGAATATAAATTGAAAAAAAAAATGTTAGTTTAAATTTTTTGTAGGACTCGGTTAGCTCAATTGTTAGAGCTAACGATGCCGGTTCAAGTTCTGCCAGAGTCGAAATTTTTTTCAATTTATTTTAGATTTTTAAATTTATATGCTTGCCAATTTTGTGAAAGTTGCCCGTTGACTTCACTATTTCTCAATAATTAACAATTAGTAAATAATAAATGCATTGCAAAAATCAATACATAGATGAACCGAATATAAATGTATGATAATGATTATCATCCTTATTTTTATGTCTTACCGAAACAGTGACATCTATCTCTGGTATACCATTCAGTTCGGCAGCTTTCTCCGCGAGAGTCTTTAACTCTGGGGTGCTCGGTCCTTCCTCTGAACGTGTCACCAACTCTTTCATGTAGTCAGGAAAGACTTCTGTGGCTATATACGTTAGTTAGTTTAAATAATCTAAAGAAATGTCCGCGACAGAATGTGTCTTATTTTATCCAACCGTTTTAATGGTTATAAAATTTGTTAAAAAATTTTCATAACATGGTACAAACATGTTTGCTAGATAAGCTAGTACGAGTAGTACGATAATCGTCATTTATCGAGAGGGCTATGTGATCTACTCGTAACATAAATACTTACTTCGATTTACGCGCTGATTTACGGTCGTAATTGAGAATTGGATTCGACTCGATTTCGCCGATATCGAGAAATATTTCTTTACGACGATCAAAGAGCTTCAATGCCAAAACCTTACGCAATTTAAAAATAACTGTGTCAGTATATATAAATTATAGCTATTACCCACGACGTCGGTCGCGTCCCGTCGTTCTTGCAAGTTAATCTTAAAACATAGATATAGAAAGAAAGACATAGTGATTTTTTAGAGGAATCATTATTTTATAGATAATTTTTTCTCAAACAAACAAACAAACCCTTCAGCTATAGATATAGTATAGATGGCATGCTGATAAACTTACTACTTAATATAAAATAACTTACGAAGATGACGAGGTTCGTGAGTTCTATTTATAAACTCAGCTTGCAGTTCCATACCGAGGAAGTTATTCTGTTCATTTATCAACGCACTTTTGACTGGAAACACGGAATTTTCCGGAGATTTGATCATTGTTGGCACGTTCTGGTTTACAGCTTGCACGGGCGATGGAATCTTTTGCCTTTGGAGTCCATTCACAAGAATATCTGGTGGTTGGTGTATTGTTTCGGTGCCTGAAACTTAACAGTGGTTAGTATAAATACATAACAACCCAAAATAAGTGGGTACGCTTATGACTTAGTGACAGTACAGGAACAAAAGAAAATAAGAACTGAGAGTTAAGTTGAAATGCTTATTGTACCAAAACGCAAGGAATTCCGGGTTTCATGGCTTGAGTTCTGAATTTGCCTTTAATTGATACAAAAAATGCAACACATTTTGTCTGCTATTAATTAACTTCTAGATAAACTTCTTGTCGATAATACCACATTCAGCCCGTGGTTATCGAATTATAGCTTACCGGTATTCGTGAGGTCTAAATCTTGAGCAAACGCCATAGCAGACAGAGCTGAAGAGAGTGCAACGCCGCCAACACCCGCAGCCTCCTTTACAACTTCTGGAGGTGGTACTCTGCAATATACGAGCATACTAAGAACACACTTTTTTAAAATCGGGACTGATAAACGTCTTATATACCTCTAGATCACATGCTTTCGGAAGGAATGGAGGGACCGAATAAAGTTTTGGATCCCAAAAATATTCATCTTTATGTAGAGTCCGTCAGACACCGGAATGTCTTAGAGCTAAAAGCGTAATTAGGTACTCACTGAGCTACTAGACAAGTATGAACTCGTAGTTTAAATAAAACACTTTATCGGTTTAAAACGCGATATATTTCAGTTAAACTTCTTTGAAAATTATTTTTAACTACGGCCGACGTTTCGGATGCTTTGCAGCAGCCGTGGTCACGGGGACTACAGACAGCATATATATTCATCGTAACTTCAAGTCCAGTCCGTAGCACTGATTTGATGATATAAATAGTAACCATATAAATTGAGAAGATAAAAAAAATACTTTTTTGATTTGGCAATTTACGTAAGTTAAATTTACGTATTCACTGTATTTGTAAATAATTTACCATACCATTTATTCACTGCTCATTCTTAGCCAAGTAAAAACATGGTAATTGTACTTACGGCGCCTGCTTCTTCGTTGGTGTTGATATCGAGACTCGTCCCCACATCAGCAGACGCAGTTCTTCACCCGTTATCCCTCGTTTTCGAAGCTCTGCTATCGTTACTTTGCCTACGCGCTGAAGCCCATTTATTTTTGTAAGTATAAACTATTCTTTATCTATAGTTTTTATTACGTCTCTTCGTTATTTAAAGTTAACTCATATAGTTCGCGTTTTAAACGGTAAAACATTTATGGATGTATCCTACCTTCCAATTAGCCAGAGCGCCTTTTCGTTGCTTTGCTCTAGTTTTGGCCTTACTCTTAATGACCATCACTCCGCGCTGTTCGTATCTCGGGTCATCTGAAGGACCTAGGCCTATAGAGTACTCCTGCAGATACTTGTGAGCGTCCTCTTGTGCTACAGATCGCTCTAACGACACTACAATTTTTGCCCACTATAAGATGAAATAAAATGAGTGGAAGATCAAAGGAATAAATTATATATAACAAACAGGATTTTCTGTACGTAGTACCTACTTAAATATAAAATTGAACTTACAAAGTAATTGCAAATAACTTTCGATGCAACATAATAAAATTAAAAAAAAATTACTACTTAGGTACACTAAAGAACATGCCATGTGTATTGTAAACACGTGAGAACTATTTTAAGAAATATAAAGGTCCTTATACGTGGTCAGGACTGTTCTTCTGTTTTATCTATGTCACCACTTACTTGTTTGACCCACTCCTTCTCAGACTGCTCAATAACATGCGCATAAGTGTTACCCATCATGGCGATCAACATGTTTAGGAGTAGGATCGGCACGAAAACCATAAACACAGCGAACACGGTCTTCGAGAGATTTGGGTAAATCGTCTGCCCGAGCTCCGAGTACTGCTAACAAACGAAGGAGTCAACAAGGTTAGTAGGTTGTCAACTAAGGGGGGACGATACGATGACACCACGACGTGTAGACAACGATGCAACACGACCACCACCGTTTCTGTGCAGTTTTGACTTACCTTCAGGTATTCATAGCTATTAAAAAATTACAAACACTGACGTCACAAAGTGCTATAGACAATAGTCATAACGCAGAGTTCAAAAAAGAAATTGAGCCAGGAAAGGACAACAAAGATTTTTTCAGTATTTCAATATAGATTTTTTTTAATGACATGAATTACCAAAATGCAATGTTTCCAAAGACATTTTTTTGAAAAAAATTTTTGGGGTCTTTTTTAATAATATCTATGTTATTATAGTTTCTTAAAAGTGCGTCGTTCATGTAGCAATCAAGGCATCGAGCATTCTCTTAGAAATTAAAAGATCTAAACGGTGCCACCTTCACGAACACATTAACTTGGCCAAATACGACTAAGAATTAATATTGTAGTACATAATTTTATTTCAAAATGCACATGCATCAAATAACAGCAAGCAACTTACACTGTAGTCGCCAAGAGTTATTTGAAACAGCGCCATCCAAGTGCTCGGGTAACTCGAATACAATGTTGATTGGACATTGGGGAATCCTAAAACAAACAAGTTATTAATCAATCTACTAAGTGTCTTCTCCTAACAACAGTCTTTTTAATTTATGTGTTGCAACTAGGCATGGCTCTCTCTCAAGGTTTATAAAACAAAGACCATCCACACTTCTCCAGTGTGGGTTGGAGGATTTTAGCCAGCAGTAATTTTTTAATGTTAGCTAAAACCTAAAGCGGTACGTGCTTTTCTAGGCGCCAAATTAATGACCCAATATCTATTACTAATAGGAGTACAGCCCATGTTGCTTAGAATTTATAGGGCTGGAGTATTTTACCTACCATCAAATGAACCAACGGTTGTCTTTCCTTCTCTACCACAAAAAAACATCTGGTACTTTTATACTCTGGGCTGGACATTATCTTTGGAAAAGATCTTTACGTTCTTTTGTTTTTACCATGTTGCCCTATACTTACGCCTTACCTTTATATAAAAAGAAGAAAGATTGTGAGAACCCAAACAGTATAATGCAGTAGATGATACCGAATGTGAACATGTCTCCCGTTATCATGCTGTATATCATCGTCACAAAGGGACCGGTCAACTTTACAGCTCTGGAAGGAAAATTTATTTACATTTTGTTAATTATATTGCTTTTTAATCCACGATCAACAGTTTACTAACCGTGATCTAACTCAGATATTAAACTGTGCCCCGTGATCATCAAATACCTCACCCTCTCTAGCATGTTATATATTATTACATAACTAACTTTGCCAGCGACTTCGTTTGCGTAGAATACTTAATTTGGGCATCAAAATTTGTTTTTGAAAACCTCTTCCTCATCTGTATAAATTATATATGTTACGCACGACGTCGGACGCGTCCCACGATTCTCGCAAGGTAATCATAATACATAGATATAAACTGTTTGGGACATTTTTTTAGATCATTAAAAGAGGAATCATTCTTTCAAACATATTTTTTGGATTTTTTGAACCGGTTTCAGAGCGCAATGGAAACTCTCAAAGATGAATATTTTTTCTCCGTTTTATTCACATTAGCCACTGTTTCTTCGCTGCCATTGTTTGCAGCGTGATGTTTATAACCTTACCAACCTTCTTCGGAAAATGCTCTAACCAACACCGACAAATCTTTTCAATTCGATCCAGTCGTTTCTGAGATTACGCTCGTTCAAACAAAGAAACAAACTCTTTACAATATTAGTAGATTAAATTTAAGTACATAATTCATTTGAATTTACAAGCTTCGTATTTCGTATGCGCCGAGAAATATATTTTATCGAAATTACCATTCGCATGTAGAGTCGCGTTCAGCGCATGCGCATTTAACAACTGAGCGGTAGGTTTAAGAAATATTTAAAAAATATAATACTTACCCTGCAAAGAACATTAGTAGAAACCATGATCCGGGTAGAACGAAAATCAAAATGGCCTCCTCAAGCATCGTCTGTTTCGTAAGTCGAGCCGGGATACAGGCGAGAAGCAACAGGTTCGACGCCAGAAAAATGAATTTTGCCGGCTCGTGTATCTAAAAGGCACTTATTAATGCATATTTATTTATTTTAAGTGTTAGTTTTTTGTGGTGTGTTACTTAATTTTTAGTTATGTTTATATTTAATTAAATTATTTAATGTCTTATTAGCAATAACTATAGGACCCATAAGGATGCGATGCATGTTGATCTGAATTGAGTGATCACTACCTTCTTAAAAGAGTCGCTTGATCGTGGTTGGTGAAATAAATTTTTCTTTTTCAAATAATTAGGCAAGACCGAAATGGTTGCCAAACGAGCTTTCCCGCTTCTTTTCGAACATACAAACAATTCGATTCGATTCGAACAACGTGATATAAATTAAAAATCGATTTAATGATACGGGCAGGACTCAAATCGGCATCCTCAGCGTTCCGTGCTGGTGCCTTAACCAATGGAGCTACCGTGCCCGACGTAGAGCACGGTAGGGCACGGTAGCTCAATTGGTCAAAGGTTTAATTTAAAATCGATTTTAATTCATATAATGCTATCATGTGCAATCACATGTGAAAAACATTAAAATTTTCAAATTGCTGTCGTTTTGATATTTTATAGTTTTTTTGTAATAAACTCTACTTTTTAACCTACCAACTGCTTAAAATAAGCTATAAGCCCTTGGTTCTTGATTTCATCGCCCTGCTGCAGTACAATGTAACAGAGGGTGCTCAATAAGGTTCCTAGTTCGCAGGCCAATCTGATTCCACTCCGAGCGTCTGTTATCTCCAGACCCCAATCTGGATACGAGTCAGCTTCCACGCTGCTGTGGCGAAGGTACACCGATACAGACAAGAGGAGGAGGTGTAGCATCAGGATCATTAGTCGTTTCAGAAACTTTTTCTAAAAGAAAAAATGTGTATGATAATTAAGCTTTGCTTAAATACTGTCTGTAGTTTACGCAGTTTATCTGTAGTTTGTTTTTTTTTTTGTTTTTCACATAAAACACTTCAACGGTTTAAAAAACGAAATATATTAGTTAATAATTTGCAGATTATTTTAACTATTTTATTTTTACTTTGTCGCCCCATGACCACGGCTGCTGCCAAGCATCCGAAACGTAATATATTTCGCGTTTCGAACCGTTAAAGTGTTTTATTTAATGTTTGTGTAATGTAAAATACCTATGAAACAACTGATTAAAGTTAAACATTATAGGTTAGCCCCTATCAGGCGATATTCCGGCGACATAGACAACTAGTAATATACAAATTTTAAATTCTTTTAATTAATCGTCCTTAATCACTTTTATCGGGCAACAATAAAGAAACATTTACTCTTGCAAATGTTTTCCATTTTTCTTCTAGAAGTCTTTGTATAATGCCTCCATCCAACATGTTTAAATGTTCTTGTTTTGTCCCATTCAAGATTATGAATAGTGCAGAATTCCAATCTGAAAACACAACACAACTCAAATAAAATATTTTTACAACACAAACCGGAGACCATACTTAATATATAAATTACTTTGGAATAATTAATATATAATATACCTTCACTTATACATTTCAAAAGATTATATAATAATGATTAAATACAAATAATAGGTTACCTTACAGAAACATACAGTTAACAATGTGTTAGGAAGACTTAGAAGCAAATATTAATTTAGCGTTTCAACTTGTACTATATTGGGTACTAGGTGTGTCAGCGACTTCGTCCGCGAGAATCACTATTTGAGGCATGCAAATTTATTTTTGCAAACCTCTTTCTTTATCTTTATAAACTTAAGCTTTTACCCACGACGTCGGTCGCGTCCCTTCCCGTCGTTGCAAGGTAATCCTAAAAGATAGACGTACAGCGTCGCGGACATTTTTTGATAATTTAAAGAGGGAATCATTCCTTAATACATATTTTTTTGAAAACTTGGACGAACGAATGAGTGAAATAGACCAATATCCCCAACAAAATACACGATAATTTGACTGTTTAAAATGTTATGTTTTAAAGTTTTTTTTTTAATTCTCGCCTGACCGAAACAATTTATTTACCAGATACTCAATCAAATAAAACACTTTAACGGTTTAAAACGCGATGTTTGATATTAGTGAAACTTATTTGACAATGATTTTTAACTTCGGCCCGACGTTTCGGACGCTTCGCAGCAGCCGTGGTCACGGGAAGACAAATAAGTCAAATAAGTTTAACTAATACATCGCGTTTTAAACCGTTAAAGTGTTTTATTTAAATGTGTACTACTCGCGTAAACTATAGACAGTATTCAGATACTCAATCGTTAAACTGTTTTATAAGATAAATAGACTATATATACCCATACCCACTCGCATGTGAAAATTATTAAAAAAAAAAAAAATTGATCTTTTGATCAACAGAAACATTGAATTACTAACTTGTCCTTCCATCTGGCAATAGGGTATCCAAAGCGTTCAACGGATACGCCGAACACGTGATATTAGAGTACCTCCAGAACTCCCTTGAAGACAACTCCAACATTTCCCTGAACACAGACGCTCGACCGAGTTGGCACGCCAGAGTAAGAGGCGTGAATCCGGCGATGTTTTGCCTTCCATTACTTGCTGGTACTTTCGGATGGCGAAGTGCGTAACCAAACATGTCCTTAAAATATATAATACATAGTTTTAATAACCAAATGAACCTAATAGAGCAGTTACAGTTAATGGTTACAACGCGAAATATATTAGTTAACTTTTATATTACGTATATTGTCGGGCTCGTTGGTCTAATGGTAGCAACAGTACACGGTTAATAATCAGCGGGTCGTGGATTCGATCGGGTCCGACCTTTTTCTAATCAATTTTTCTGAAGTATCGGCGGTAAGAATATAAAAATTTCTTCTGAGTCACGAACCACCGTCCACAGATGACTTTGTATATACCTGGGATATTTGACTTACCATCCTCTATGGCATATTTTTCAAAACCTAGAGACATAGTTTGTATTTATTAAGGAAGTAATTAATTGTACGTTAAAAAAGTCCTTTCCCGCATGTGCTAATAGCCAAGGATTCTGGGTTTTATTCCGGGGAGTAATAACAGTTTATTTGAGCAGATATATTTTTTTGCGAAAGGTAGACAGAAATGTACTAATCTGAACGTGTTTGCCTTACCAACTTATCACACACGACCACCATATGCAATATCATATTGCCAAATGAGTCCTGAGCGTCGGGGTCAGCGTCAGAATCCAGAAGGAGGTTGTACACCGCCTCGTTGGCGCAACAGGCTGCCCAGGCTAAGGGGTATTCCCCGAGGTATGCCAAGCCTTCGTAGTTCGTTTGCCGCGTGGCTGGCACCCGTTGTTGGTCGCGAGGAAGAAAGAAGCTACCTGGAAACGCATTGTATAACGTTCGAACAGAAAGCAAAAACATCATGCTATAAAGCTGAAGAGTTAGTTTGTTTGAACGCACTAATCTCAAGAACTACTAACTCTTCACCTTTATAATATTAGTATATATGTATTACTAGTGGACTAGTGATTTCTTTTTAGCGGCAAGAGATATACATATGTTGTAAAAATTTCAACTGTCTGACCAATGAAGTCGCGAACATTTTTACCCTTTGAGTACGGATCCCATCTTATAAATGTACGATCACTATTCAACCTGAGTTTCAAGGTCACAACCAAGTCATTTATGTATCACGTAAAATGGTTAGATTTTAATTTTAAAGCTACAATACAAGAAGGGATTACCAGTATTGTATATGGTTTTATTTTCTTACGTATATGTATATGATAATAATTACCGATAGCACGTTGATGAACATCAGCGCCGGCTTCTACCAGGTCTTGGACCAACTCATTATTGCTATAAGCAATAGCTAGGTGCAATGAACTGGCGCCTAGAGATATGCGAACACATTCACGAATTAGATATTAGCTCGACCAAAATCCAAATGGACCTCGTGAGGCATGGGGCTATCACATTTCTGGGTCACTCGATCGAGTTGATCATACTTCCGTGTCCTTCCAAACCTAAACAATAAGTTGAGCCTCTCCCGTTTAAACCAATGTTAAGTATCTCGTTGAACCATTGAGCTGCGAAGGCTTCAGGGGCGTAGCGAGCTGCGGGCTACGTTCACAATATTTTTACATTTTCATATTTTTACGAACAGCGTGTCTCACCGGCTTTATGTGAGACACGCTGTTCGTAAAAATATGAAAGTGTTACAAACTAATTAATGTAAGCTACTGACAAAAATCACGTTTGAAATAATGTCTTGGCTACGCCCTTGCCGTTAGTTAGATTTATAGATAGAACCTAAATACTAAACACATTACCTAAATACTCTTCACCTTCTACAACATCTAGTGACAATTTTGGAAAACACTTCACTAATGTTCTAGCTAAACGGGTATGTATCTGAAACAAGAAGAGGTAAGGAACTAAAGGTGTTACCTATTTTAAGAAGTGTTTGCTTAAGATAGTCAAGTTTCTTTCCCCGGAGAAAAGTATTTATGACTATCCCGGGTATCGAAAGTCGACCACTAAGTCACGGAGGTATTAACCAGTTGTAAAAAAATATGTTCGACGTAAATATTCTTTTAAATGTAATCAATATTAACATAGATAGATAACACAAACTATTATTGCTAAATTCTAGAGTAACAGACTCTAATTACGTACAAATTTCGATTCTAAAAAGTATATCAATACCTTGCACCAACTCCTACTCCTATCGTAAATAAGTTATAAAAGTAATTGTTATAAATCGTGTTTAAATCCAAAAATAAACCGAGAGCGCTTGATAACAAGGCCAAATTAGAGGTTTTTTTATTATTATTATAGCAGAATACCTTAGTATCACAAATAATTAGCACGTGTAAAAGAGATTCCCCCAGGGCTCCACGGTAGCTCATTTGCCAGCAAGCGGTGTGATCTTCCCATTTAGCGAGGGGGTCGTGTGGGGATAGCGACGCTTCAATCGGAAGCACTACCTGGAAATGTATCGCATATTATATCTTACGGCAGGTGAACTTTTTGCGTGAGTAGTACGACTATGTAATGACAGGGTCAGACAACGGAATTTCCAAAAAGTTAAATCCCGTTGCCTGCCATTTCATCGACCATTTTCCTGATCGGTTTTACGAGCACGTGATTGATCTGACTACTGTGCCCTGCCCGACCGAAACAATCATTTGTTTCCCGCAGATTCAAGACCAGGACCTTTAGCGCTTAACGCGATTCTAGGCAACGTTAAGCTACAGTAACGAATTAACAAAAGATTATGTAAATACTGTCTATAGTTTACGCGAGTAGTACACATTTAAATAAAACACTTTAACGGTTTAAAACGCGATATATTGCTTACTAACTTATTTGGAAATGATTTAAAAAAACGGCTGCTGCAAAGCATCCGAAACGTCGGGACGAAGTTAAAAATCATTTTCAAATAAGTTTAACTAATATATCGCATTTTAAACAGTTAAAGTGTTTTATTTAAAAGATTTTGTATTTCATAAAGAATTGCATATTTAAAAGGTTATAATATAAGCCTAGATCGCTTTAATCTTGTGTATTGTATGCGCGGGCCAAGAATACCTTAAATAAATAACTATTACCTGTTCTTGCTCTCTAAACTTCCAGCGTAGATATTCAGCTCTATTGATAACGCGACCCCTTCCACCAGCATACATATAAGCCGAGAATTCGTCTCGAATTAACTTCTCTGCGGCAAACATGCCGCCTTTTGCGTATGTCTCTAACAGTATGCCACCTAAATGTATTCACCATATCTTACTAACATAATCTAGAACCTAGATAGACCAATTAGTGTACGTTGAATGATTTTTGGTAACAAATTGAATATAATGTTACGAAATTAATGAAAAGCGATTAAGGCGCTCTAGTGTCAAAGAGTTATAAATATCCTCCAGTGTATAAATATTCTCCAATGATTTATAAGGTCAGAACGAACAGAAGAGTGAGAGTCAGGAAAAAATATAGGTACCGCCATTCAATTATCAACTTTTAAATATTACACTAAAACAAGAGCTTTTAAAATAATAACCGATGTCAAATTTAAATTTTACCATGGGACTTTACCGATGTGTTTTTTTTTAATACGCTGTGCGAAAGACAGAGCGTGCATATGAAAGAGATAGCATAAGGGTCTCAGCACACATATGGGATCGGAAGGGAATGCAACCCCAACCCCCTTTCCCCCGCCCCCCCCCCCCGGCCCACCCCCCCCCCCCCCCCCCAACGGGGGGTTTTCCCCCCCCCCTTTGGCCCCCCCCCCCCCCGGGGGGGGGGCCCCCCCCCCCCCCCCCCCCCCCCCCCCCGGGGGGGGGGGGGGGGGGGGGGGGGGGGGGGGGGGGGGGGGGGGGGGGGGGGGGGGGGGGGGGGGGGGGGGGGGGGGGGGGGGGGGGGGGGGGGGGGGGGGGGGGGGGGGGGGGGGGTTTTTTTTTTTTTTGGGGGGGGGGGGGGGGGGGGGGGTTTTTATAAAACCCCCCGGGGGGGGGGGGGGGGGGGGGGGGGGGCCCCCCCCCCCCCCCCCCCCCCGCCGGGGCCCCCCAGACCGTTCGCCATTTGTTTCTTTAAGCGCCCGAGTTACAAAGTTACCTTTTTTATAATCAGCCAGTTTATATAATACAGTATGGTCTTCGGTGCTTGGTTGCGATATAACTCGGTCAAGAACTGATCCAACTGCTTGGACACTAGAACTTGAACACAATTTCCTCAAAGTACTCCCCATTTTATTTTAACACTGAAATATGTACATAATTAAATTTGTAGTAAATAAATTCCATAAAATTTAAACATAAAATCTCCGTTATAAAAGCTATGTTTATCTTGTTAATAAAGGATATATAACTTATATTATCTGTGAGACGTAATATCAAAATCAAATGTAGATAAGGCATAAACATTTAAATTTGACATATGATATATGACAACACTTATTATGTTTATTGATTTGATATTTGACAGAACCCTACGTGTTGTGGTAATTCGCCCTCAACTAAAAAAAATAAAATCTTTTCTCAATTTTACACGCAATAATGAAGAATGTTTTATGCTAGCATTTTTTTCTAGAAATAAAAAGAAGATATACAGGAGCTATTTTAAAAATATAATAGTTTTAAAATTGCTATGAAAATCATGAAATCTACTTGTTCTGAAAGCCAAATTTCCCATATGTTTCCGGTACTAACTATTCAATATTAATAAAAACTAGGCCCTAAACATTATTATATTTTAGAGTACCAATACTATTACTTAAACCTTACAAACTTCGTGTTGTAGATCTATATAGCATCTAAGTATAGTGTATACAAATAATCAACTATTTTACTACCTTCTTATTCTTAATACCAAGTCTAATGGTGTTTGTCTGATAAAACAATATTATTTCATTCATGTTAATTATAAATATAATTTCTTGGATAATATGAAAACAGTGCTTAAATCTGTTGAACATAGTACGTACTGTAAAACTTTTATTACATTTTGTCGTAATTAGGGTGCAACAATAATAAACTTAAAGCCAGCAACATTGATATATATACCTGAAAATGTTAATCCATTTTAGTTGAAGATAAAACGAAATATGGTTGCCTTATTTCACTCATTTTATCAATATTTCCACACATGTAATACTCAAGACTTTTAACATTATGCTTTACGTATCTTTACTGTTAAATAAACGTAATTATCTTTGTTATACAAGTTGCTAGGGTAATTCTTGTTACTTAGTGACCCCATAATAAGTCCCAGCTATATTAATTTTGCTCTGCTGGTTTTTCGCTTTTGGGTACCTTATTCGCTGGCTATTTAATAATAATACTTAAATTTTGAAATTTCATCATGGTGTATGTAAGTGTAGTGAGATACTAAGGCTACTAAGGACTGAGTTATAGCTTAACATTTAAGAATAGAGAAGAGTAAAATTCACGTCGCGAAAGATGTTCTGTTAATAATAGTGTGATGTAAAAACAATTAAACGGTTTAATTTTGTAGTGGCAAATATACCTGCGTCTTTAAACCGAATTAAATAAACAAGAAACAATTCTTCCCTATAAAAGTGTGAAATAATTTTAAAATATATCCTTCGATACATATCTGATAAAACATAATATAGTTTGTATTCAAATATATTATTAATTTAGCGTAGGTCGTAAACATTTCTCCTGAACAATTATTCAAGCCATAGTGTTCTGCTCTTCTTTTTCTTTCTTTAGAAAATCTATGCCATCAAATTGTTAACCAGAAAGAGTTAGTGACAAAATTCGACAATTGTGGCTAAATACTAGAGGTATTGGGTTTGAATAGTTTCAGTCACAACTCTACAATGCAGAGAAAAGAAGTCATAATAAAATTCTGCTTATAAATACGGACGATATACGCTTAGAAATGAGTCGGCCTCATACTCGACCTATGGAAAATTGGTATTCGCATTTTTTCACATATACGAGTATGCCACCCACAAATCAATAGTTTACATAAAATAAAATAAAAAAAAGTAAAAAAAAAAACTTTAATTGTGTAATAATTTATTTTTAAATAAACATATTTATATTCAAAATCAATCCGGCGTCAAGTAGTTTTTACAAACAAATAAAGTCACGAGCGATATATAAATATATATATATACCTATCTATTTGAATACATATACAGTTGAATTATTATGCCTCAGATAATATCGTAGGTAGGTATAAACGAGCCAGCTTATTCAATCAGTGATAGCAATGAGGTAGTTACTCAGTGAGTCACGAGTGTAATTTTGTGTTATAGAAAAACATCTCTAACAAACTACCCATAATATAAGACATACAAACTATATCACACTCGTGACAGATCAAATAACCCCAAAATACATTTCTCTCTAAGTTAAATAAATTAAATTTATATTAAAATATGTGGCGTCGCGGTGGTCGCCATTTCGAATATATATTCTTACATTCTCTAGAACTAAACATAAAGGTCATTACCCCTACTTCGTGTACCCTTCCGACTGAGTCGAAATTTTGCGTGTCGAGACTCGAGTTCATTTAAAGTCCATTCTTCAAATTACTTTATTTGTTCTTAAAGTAATAAAAATGAAATAAAGAATCTATTTTTTTCTATAGACATTTTATTAACACTATTTGTATTAAAATAAAGATTAATAAAGAATTGAAAAATTTGAATGTCTCACCTTGTATACTCAAATATTTTGTAATAAGTGCTAAGTGGTTATATCCCGTCTACAACATGTTGTCAATTCAAATAAATAAGAAAGCGATTTATAGCTTTAACACTGTAGATAAAAAAATAACTACGTGCCGGTTTATAAATCCGCCATTTTCGAGAACAATTAGTAATAAATAATATCAATTATCTTAGTTACACCACGCTACTAAGATGATTAAACTTTTTGATTTAAACTTATTGAACCTATTTAGTAACCTGTAATAATCTATTTGTAAATCTAGGATGATGTAATTAATAAATACGGTTCATACAATCTACCCCTCAAATCCAAATTATAGTAGTAATTTTGGAATTCACGAATAGATTGTACGATTTTTTTAAACAATTCTAACATGTTGCTATTAGTGATGGCTAAACTTTAGTCTTTGATAATGTGTTACGCCTTTACAGCGCTATCGCTAGACTTGAAGTGAAACAAAATAGTACAAAATTTATAACGCAGAGGGCAGCACTACGACCGGCATTCAACTGAGGCGACATGGGGCAAAATTATATACCTGTCTCACTTGCACTCGGAACGACGACCGCGCATGTCCCCTCGCCCGAAGAACGGGGATTTCGCCATTTTGTTTTGAAACGTCGACGTGTTCGCGACTCCGCGTGATGTGGAAAGCAAAAAACGCATTTTGTGCTTTCCAACAGTGTCATAGGTGATGATAGAGATTTCATAATTAGAGAAACTGTACATTCATGTGACCGTGGCTGAGGGTTTTCTTCGAGTCGTCGGGTAAATGTCTTTAATATCTATTCTTGTCGCTTCATCGACGGTGTATGGTCGTGTTTTATGTGATAATTTTAAGAACGATTATTTACTTATTATTATGTTTAAATCTGATATGACACGTTCACGAACAAAGATTAATTATTTGGCGTGGACTGGTTTGAGAATACTTATCGCATGACGTAGCGACCGCTCCGCGCGGCATGTCGACTCTCTCTAAATTCTACTTCTAGAGACTGTTGAACGCGACGCGACGACGTCGAATGAATTTCCATGCTTCGATGTACCGACGTTGGATAAATAGTAATTATGTTTTCACAGTAAACATTTAATGTTAAAACATCTAACTAAATGCGATCACGTATTATATAATTCTCTAATAGTTATACCCCGCGGTGTTGCTTATGTTTCATTTGGGAATCAACAACAAATAAAGGTTTTTTTAAACAACTGTTTATTTTTTTAAGATTAGGAAATTATTTTACAATATCATATACATATATATATGGAGTTAACCAAGTTTGTTTTGTTTAATTATAAAGACGGTTAACCAAACAAAAAATGTTGTCCGTTAGTATAAAGTATAGTGTTAAAAATAAACAATCAACCTTGTATTGTTATTATAAATATTTCGATGTGTAGGTATTGAAACCTTTTTAAACTTCGGCGATTTAAGAAGCAGAAATGAACACTCTTTATTAAAACTGAAAAATTGCACCAAAAGGGAAAAACCCACTCGCACTTATTTTAATATTGAGAACAAATTTGTATGTTATTTATTTTGTTCGCTCGAGACAAATCTTATTATTCTTATGACCTTGATTATTATTATGAAAACTTAATGTTTTATTTAGTTAATAAACAATTACCTATGTTTTTTTTCTCTGCGATGTGCATTACATTAGGGCGTTTATCTGGAAATCCAAAAAACAAGACCTCTTTCTATCGTGATGTTCAGATTGTAGTGATAGTAGATAGTTTAGTTTTTTCTCACAAAAATTAACGTCAGTCTATTTTTCTTAAGAGTTTGTAAAACGGTTTATGGTTCTCGCATTTCATTTTTAATATAACATAAAGCCTTCTTTGTTAATACAAAGAAACAAACTTCCAAGCAACGGTAGGGTACCTGTAACTTTTATTTATATTATTCGTAATATATATGAGTACCCCCACTTTTGCAGAGAACAGATTTTACCTCTACGACATTTTGCTAATAGAATCTTTAATTTAAAATAGAACTTTAGTCTATTAAATAAAAGAATAATCTTATAAAGAGTAAAATACAAACTTGCACATTTATCGTATAATTTTTTTCTAATTACACTGTTCAAATGAGACTATTATTAAAAAGAAGAAGAACGCATTTTAATGGTTTAAAAGACAAAATTAACTACCACTAATTTATTTTAAATACAACGCGACGTTAAGAATACTTTTATCCATCGTGGTCACGGCCGTCTAATGTTGGTGTGTCTTTATGGCATTCTCAAACCTGCTACGCTAGCGCCATCTGTACACAGTTAAATACAAATGTATTTAAACATAACACTTTGACGGTTTAAAACGCTATATATTAGTTAAACTTATTCACGTGGAGTTAAGGGGAGACCACTGCTGCTGCAAAGCATCCGAAACGTCGGGCCGAAGTTAAAAATCATTTTCAAATAAGTGATATATCGAGTTTTAAACCGTTAAAGTGTTTTATTTAAATCGCGTAAACTATAGACATTTAATAAAAATGTAGTTAAAAAATAGTAAATATACTCCCGTTAAAAACGAACAATAGACAATGTTTAATCACCACGTCAACGATCAACCACTCGTGTACGCTACAGACAAAAATATTTTTTTTTATTATCATAATGAAATCACAGACACATACCTGCAAGGTCGTCGTTACGAGGTTGGCGGGTACGATAAGTGTAACACATGACGTAACGTAAGTTTGCTCGTCGCTCATTTGTTACAGCTTCTTATGAAATGGTTTTTTAAGAACCTTCAGAGTTCTGATGGTAACCTGGTACTTTTTGCTCACTGAGACTCCTACAACCCCACACATAAATAACAAACACTCCACACAAAAACAAATTTTAACGATTTAAAACACGAAATGTATGAGTTAAATTTATTTAAGTAAACAATTCACTAAGTATTTAACTCAATAACTTTACGTTAATATATTAACGAAGGGATGAAAGAAAATTACTTATTTATCTCTTTATAAAAACAGATACAGCGGAATCCGTTTATGTTACTGAAGGAAAATTAGTAAGCAACTAAGTCTTTGAAAACATTAATATTTTTCATATGTTATTGCACATGAAGGCACTATATAATTTAAAAATCGAAAATAAATTGAAAAAATTTTCGACTCGGGCAGGACTTGAACCGGCATCGTCAGCTTTCCGTGCTGTTGCTCTACCAATTGAGCTACCGAGTCCTACACCTCATCGTTGAATTTTTTCAACTTATTGATACATGCACCTCTCGCGCAATGTATAACTAACTTGTTATTTAGACCGCATAGATTTGGAACTGCGTTAAGAGGTAACGGTCCCGGGATTGAGTCCTGGGAAAACGATAATAGTAGGTCTGCCAGGATAGTACATAATACGGTAGTCTTATTAACTCCTAGCTGTGCCAGCGACTTTGTCCGCGAGAATCGTTATTTTGGGCATCCAAATTAGGTTTTGTAAACCTCATCTTTCTAAACTTAAAATGTTAGCCACGACGTTGATCGCGTCCCTTCCCGTCGTTCTTGCAAGCTAATCTTAATAGATAGACATGTAGCAGACTTTTTTTAGATCTTTTAAAGAGGAATAATTCTTTCATACACATTTTTTAGTTATCTAGAACCGTTTTCAAGCAGCGTACGCAACTGAAACCAAGAGAGATAAAAAATGTCCCCCGTTTTGTTCACTTTTCACGCTGTATCGTCGATTATTATTATTAGTCACAGTGCGATGTTTTATAGCCTTCCTCGATAAATGTTCTAACCAACACAAAATTATTTTTTCAGTTCGAACTCGTAGTTCCTGAGATTAGCGCATTCAAACAAACATCAAACTCTTCAGCTATATATAGTCGTATATATGTATTTACGCGTAAATTAAAGCTATCGGTGCAACTGACACAAAAATATCCCTCTCTTAGGTTCCAAACGTGACTTGTCTCGTATTTATAACTAACAATTTCTTATTTAGATGAACGAAATGGCTACCGCAGCTACGATGGAACAGAAACTTAGCAAAGCCAGGGTGGAGAAGCTGAAGCGGCGGTTGATCCGCGCTGTGGCCTCGAAGGTCGGCCAGGACAGCAATGAAAAGGAGCTCGAGGATATGTGGGAGAATATGCAAAGGACCTCCAAGTGTGACTGCAAGCTCTTGTGGTGTGTTTTTGAATTTTACTAAAATTTGTTTCTTATCGTTATCTTGTTATGAGATTTAAATACAATAGTTTCGTAATATAGATTACGAATTCAAAGTATCTTTCATTATTTTTTGTATGTGGATCTAAAAGCGAAATTTTTGAATTGGCTTTCTAATATTTGAATTTATTGAATTCTGATATTTGTTGACTATACTATTTTAATACCTAATAAATAAATAGATAAATAAAATAAAACAAAACGGTGGCGTTGCGGCTACTGACACCCTGCGTAACATAATAATAACGTCCCCAAAGGGGCGGAAAGAGGGGGGGGGGGTTATTGGTCCAGGAAATTTCTTTCTATCAAATATGTACAGAACGTAGCAGTTTCAATGTAGGGTAGGGTAAGTTAGTGGAAACAAGACCTCGCATCGCAACCCACTCGATCACTAATGCTTAGAAACAAATAAAATTCAAATAATTTTACACACAAACTAAACTATTGATAAATTGATGATTTTTGAAATATTTTTCACACGATGGCACTATATAAATTAAAAATCGAAAATTAATTGAAAATATTTACGACTACAGCAGGACTTGAACCAAGGACTCGGTAGCTCAATTGTTTAGAGCAACAGCACGGAACGCTGATGATGCCGGTTCGAGTCCTGCACGAGTCGTAATATTTTTTCAATTTATTTTACATTTGTAATTTTACTCGATGATTTAATTATGCTTCATTCATTTCTAGTCTTTTTGTTACAGCGAAAACATCTCTGTAATATTCGAATGTATAACTAATATCATTTTTAAATTTTATCTTAATTTTAGATTTAGATAATTTGCATTTACAATAAACGTCAAAACACATTACAGTCCACATTTTCTTATTTTGACATTCCTTAACTTTTTAAATAGGAAACACATGAGGGCCGTGACACTCAAGAAATTAAAACGTCTGTTGCCAGCTAACGACATGTTACAGAACATAACAGCAATAGCGCGGCTTACTATGACTGATTGGCTTTTATTCGATCTAGTGTTGGTCCACGAAAACATCGATGTTATTGGAGCAGTGAGTATCGATAAATATGCCATAGACTAAAGAGCACCTTAAACATAGAAAAACAAAATACGTAGTCGTTAAATACTGTCTGCAGTTTACGCGAGTAGTACACATTTAAATAAAACACTTTACGGTTTAAAAAATTAGTTAAACTTGAAAACATTTATATTTTTCACATGTTATTGCACATGAAGGCACTATATAATTTATAAATCGAAAATAAATTGATTTTTTTTTCCTGCCCGAGTCGAAAAATTTTTTTAAAATTTATTTTCGATTTATAAATTAGTTAAACTTGTCAATTCTGCAAGGATTCGGCCAGTTTCGCCAAATGCCTAATTAGACGGAACAGTTGGCGCTAGCGTAGCATTTCTTTTACTTTGACATCAGAGACACAATCCATCTCTAGTCTTCCCGTGACCACTGCTGCTGCAAAACATCCGAAACGTCGGGCCGTAGTTAAATAATTTTCAATCAAGTTTAACCTATATATATATACGTTTTAAACCGTTAACGCCTTAACACTATATTGAATAGATATCGAAATTTCATCATGGTCACGGACCACCGTCCGCAGCAGACAAGTTGATGGGTGTAAGCTAAAGGACTCTCTCATATGAGAGAAGATATTTGTGCCCAGTAGTGGGATAGTTTGGTTTAGTTTTATACCATGAACAGATTTGTTAAACGTTCCGTTCCAACCCGTAGTTCTTGAGATTAGCGAAGTTCAAACAAACAAACTCTTCAGTCTTCTAGTATAGATAAACATTTGTACGATTAAATAAAACACAAATTAGCTAATATGTATTCGCGGTTTATTAAAAGTGTTTTATTTCAATGTGTTAGTTTGTATTTACCAGTTTTAATTACGACATGTCGCTTCGTGTATATTTTGTTTAGGTTAACGTGTTTATATTACTTTTTTAAGGATCTTTGGGATAACACTAGTCAGGAGCCCGAAGCACTGATAGATCTATTTTACCTTGTGGACCAGTATAAAGCTGAAACCCTCGAAGGAAAACCATTAATCGATGCCTGGCTGACAATAACTAAACTGTATAATGTTGGGTAAGGTTTGACGCGACATAGGGTGGGCTGAAGTTTAATAACAGACATCTAAAATATTTAGTCTTTACTCCAGTTTACGGCAAAGGTCCACATTTAAATAGAATACCTAGAGACGCTATTAAAGTAACACGATTGGCATCACCGGAGTCACGTGCCTTAGTCATAATAAGTCCAGTAATATGTTAAAAGTTAAAGATAATAGTAGTAATAATTTTATAAATTACATTACATTATACATTTATTAGGAAAATGTTGCATTCTGCGTGGTCGAACCCACGACCCACTGCTCTATCATCACTTTATTTTACTCCATATTTAGACCAACACGTACGTCAATTGTTATAGAAGGTAAAAGTTGAGGGAGTACCTCAACTTTTACTGTTTTTAGTCAACCTCGCTGCGCTAGGTGCGTACTACGTAAGCACTCAGTATAAGTTTGAATGAGTCTTTAACTGAGAGTGAGTTGTTTAACTAAAATTAAGAAATCAGCTACACTATTGCCAAATTTCATCAAAATCAGTCAAACTGTTCAGAGATGAAGAGTAGCATAGCGATATGTATTCGCAATATTTTAAAAAAATAAATAGTATATTATATTTAGTGGGCGCAAATGCTCTCCGATGCTGCTTCAACGACGTTGGTATCAGATGAAGAAGATGACGCGTCAGCGTTTTTATAACTTTTGGGGGTCATACAAAGGCCATTTGGCGAACTTAGACGCTGCCGAAACCTACAAGCCTACAGCACTTCAAGTCGACATAATAAAAAGGTATTTATCACATTATCACTCTTGTTACAAAACAAGGACTAACTCTCATATCTGGTTTAATGCCTGGTTCATTTGAAATTGTTATTACAAAACGAAGTTTAACGTTTGTATTGGACTAACTATGGTAGATTCATTTAGACCATTTAGAAGATTGAAGAGTTAAAGTTCTGGTTTAAGTATTTTTTTGTAATAAGGCCGATTACGTTTCAAATAATAGTTTATTTCTTCATTTTTATTTTTTAATCGTTGTATGATGATGTGTTTTATCAGTAAATTAAGCTCATTAATAGATTAAGATTACTGAATTAATGGTGGCAATGGCTGTAAGCGATCAATAAATAAGAAATTGAATGTAAGGTCCTAAATATCATGTATTTGTCTCAGATATAGACGTATCGTTGAAAACCTATTTCCGGAATGGGAGGAATTGATAAATTGCGGAAAAGTCATCCGAGCACATGAGTTTGTAAGTATTACTTAAATATTTTAAATGATAATTATTTTAAATGAAGTTATTACACGAAATACTTCATCTTATTAATAATTATAATAATAATTTATATTATCATTATTATATTATTAGTAGTTCAATAAATATATTATTCAATAGGAGCGACTCCTAAATATGTATAAAGTAGTAAATATTTAATAGTGTTCTTATAATTTTAGGATGACCGCATAAATGAAAAGAGGAATGGAATAAAAGGTAAAGTTGTTATTACTTTTTCCGCTAACACAATAATTTATTTTCAATTTTCTTAATAAAACCATAATTTCAGAATCTTTGGACACTGGACCTGAACTTGAATTGATTGAGCAAAAAATCGAAACAATAAATCTATTTCAAGATAGCGATTCCGATACAGACTCTAAAGATGCAGGCAAAACATCAAACTCGGATTTTTCAAAGGTTACCGTAAAAAGAGAACCCGAAAATATCGATTTGACTGAAATCACCGAGGAAGATAATTTAAACGAGAGTATAAACATTCCTTGTGAAACACCGTACGGTGAAGATGATGACCCTCCACCGCTTGTTATAGATTGTAGAGATTTTTCTAATGGCATAAACCATAAAACAGGAAAAATACCAACACCTAAAGATGGAAAATTACCGCATACGCAATGGGATGATAACGAAATAGTAAAGGAAAGTGATGACATCGATAATACATTTTCGGCCATGGTGGACTCAGTTTCCGTGGACTTGATGAATTCCTCCGCTGCTAACGATGAAAATGAGGATTCAAGTGCATCGTTTAATGACGTTACTGCAATTAACAACATTTCTTCAAATCTTCAGATAGAAACTCCATTCTTTAATATTGTGAGCAATGAAGACCATAGAGATATGGAACATTCGAATGAATTTAAAGTCAAAAAAGAAATTCACTTTGATATTGATAGTGACGATCATAGCGCCGCAGAAGATATTATAAAATTAGAGAAAAACTACGATGATTATAATGATATTGACATTCAGAATAACTCTACTAATCTCCCAATAATAAAAAACGTTGTAAGCATGATGACTAAAATAGAACCCACGGTAACGGAAGAAACGGTAAAAAATATATTAGCGCAAAAAGCAGAAACATTAACATCAAAATGGAAATGTAGTAATTCTGAAATATCACAGCATTTAGCAACGTGTGTCGAAACTAAAACTGATGCCGAACTATTAGGGGATTTTTCCGAAATACCAAGTGATCTCCAGTTTGTAGATGATGGCATTATTGTCATCGACAATGACGAAGATACTTCCATAGGTATTTATTATAAGTTTGTTAAATATATGTTATAATAATATTGTAGTCTTTAGTATATTTCAGATTATTTTTCAATGTCTCTAAAAATAAACTAGTTTTTAATATAATGTTCATTGTTTTACTTTGTTCATAGTTATAAAAATTATTTCAATACATGTTTATTTGATTCCAGTTAATAACCAGCTGAAACAAACAAATGGTAACTCCGATGAGAATGAGACGGCTGAAATCGATTTAAAACTGCTTTTATTTCCGACTGTTTATACAAAAAAGCTAGATCACATGGACGTCTTCAGATTTATTGAGTTCGAACACATACGAGATAAACGAATTCTCGACGTCGCGTATGCTGAAAGTAAACCAATAGATGCTTGTCGTGTCAAAGTACAAAATATTTCGCAATCGGAGGACAAAGTGCATTTACAGAAAGAAACTGACTTGAATGACGAGCAACATCAAGTAATAGATTCATTATGTCAAAATATTTTACAGTCGGACATTGAAAGTGACTCTTTTGTTCAAGGAGACATAAAGTCAAAAATTAAAGCAATTGAACAACAAAGTTTTAATAAACATACAGGTCTCCGCTCCGATAAAGATTCCGTATCTAGTGACGAGGAAGATATTATAACCATACAAGGTTACGCTAAAGATAAAGTCCACTATAAAAGCTGGATGCTGCAAAAACCTCACGTGAAAAGTTATAACCCGATTCAGTTGTGCAAAAATCCTGACTTTAACACTCGCTTGAAGCGGCTAACCGCTGGTTTTCTTAGTTACGAGACAAATCGAATCTATCTTAAAAGATGCTATCCCATTACAATTGACCTTCATAAATCTTTTGAAACGAAACTTATTGAGGGTACGCTGTACCTAAAAGGCATTGATACGTGCAATAACACCCCTGAATGTGTTCCTTCAACAGAAACCGGAATACCTGTTTCTTTGCCAATTAAAAATACAGCTACAGACGATGTAGCTAAACTTATTGATATGACATCCAGTGCTTCTACGCCTATTTTTCTTTCGTGTGAAAGAAATAAAGTAATAACTTTACCCGATATCGCGGAAATTCGTCGTGCTAATCAAAGGCTTCTTACAGCCGAGGTTGCGCCGATTCAAATAGCATCGAATAGTCCTCCAGTAACAATTCTTACGACTGAAAACTCGAATGAATCTGAATCTGTTGTAAAGGGAAAACAAGAAAATAATTCCGAGAACTTGTCATCTAGTGACATGGCTAATAACATCAAGACCACTTACGATCCGTCTAGAGAAAAGTCAACTGACTTAAGCGCTGAATCTATTTGCTCAAATACATTAAGGCCTAATAATAAAAACAAAACTCTTATTGCTGGATATAGGCCGCTAGTAAAACCTAAAGTTAATTGGTTAGAGAAAGGATCATATAAGCTAGAGGAGAATTTATTGGCCTCTGATACTGTAGATAAAATGTTGTCGTTGTTATGTGGAAATGCGGCTAACATAGAAAAAGTTAAAAAGAAAAAAAGCTACAAAATAAAAGAAAAACAGTTTTCAGGTAATATTGGTGATAAAAGAAAAGACGATAACATTGTATCGTCAACATCTTTTCATCAAAAAAGCATACAAAGATGTGAAAAAGAAAGTAAAGTTATACCAAACGAAGTGCACAGAAACGAAGCTAAAATAACAAAAGCTAAACAAAACTTTTTAACTAGAAAACGTAATAAAAATGTGTGTTGCTGGGCTAAGAGAAAAATATTAAATCCTAAAGGGAAACTTCGACATTTTTGTGTGGAAAAATGCATTTGTTGTTGTAGAGAAGAACTTTTAGAAAAATTCCAAGATGATTACTTCTTAGAACAATTTAATCAGGTAAAGGTTCCTAAACTAAAACATCATGTAGTACCTATTTTTCGTGAAAAAACCAATGGGGCACTACCAACCAGTGGCAATAATGAAGATGCACCTTTATCTATTTGCGTCAACGGTAGTAATAGTAATGTAAATATACCGCGCTGTATATCCAAAAGAAAGTCTCTGTCATTGGGGAATTTAATTGAAGCAAAAATTACCAAAGTGAACCCAGCTAAGCCACTATTTGAACTTGAAATTCAGTTAACAAACAATGGAGAAAATAAGCTCGACATTAAAAACTTAATTAATGATGATGAAGATAATGTATGTACTGTTATTAAAAATGATACAAATTCAGAACACACGGTTTCATTGCTATCATCTATAGATGACACTAAAGTTAATTGTCCTCAAAGCGAACCTAATAAACTTGCCTCTTCTCCACCCGTCTTTAAAGTACCCCGGATACTCCGTTCACAATTGGAATTAAAAAGAAATATGAGAGAAACAGTGAGTGTAATAGACCAAACACAATTAAATTCTGGAGTTCCAGAGAAAAGAACAGTACGAGTCAAAATAAAAAAGCAAGACAAAATATCCTCATCGCCCATATATGTGGGGGAAAATAAAGTTTTGCTCAGTACAATTAAAAGTCTAAACGTGGTGATAGATCCTCCAAAGATCACATTACCGGTGGGAGTGCACTTTGTGTTATTGCCCAACAATGAACTGGCATTATCTATAGACCCCGGTGTTGAACTCACTTCAGGTGAGCTGCACCACTTACAGTCGTTAATACAAACTTTACAAAGAACATTATCTGCCACACCTAAGAAAGAAAATAGCAATCCAATAGTGATCGATGAGAATAACGAAAACGTTAATCACGAAGTGGTTAAAGAAACAGAATGTAGCAAAGAAAGTGATACCGTAATTGAAAAAATTGACAATGAACCTAATAACAGTAGTACGGAAGTGCAATCTGAAAGTCAATTAGAGTGCGGGAATGACATAGAAAAACATAGTGACGTAGAAAAATCTAATTCAAATGATAACAATGCCGAAAATGAAAATAGTAAGAATGTGGTAAATGACTCGAAAGACAATATAGATACGAATTCAGCTGAATGTGATACTGAGAACAGTAACATTAATACAACAGGCGACACAGTGCGTAAATCAATTATATCTCATTTAATGGAAATGTCTGGTATATCTGAAGAGGACGCTAACGTGTCTGAAAAGCCGGTTCTTTCTAATGCTGAAACAGATTCATATATATCACATTCTACGACATCTGATGCAACGGGGATGCATCCAGACATACTAAGGTTGTTTAATACTCCAGTGTCTCTTGCCGCATTGGCTCGTCGACCCGATTTAAGTATTATTACGACATACCACGATCTAAAGCATTCTTTTGAAAATGGGGCTAGATTTTTTAAACTGGATGTAATTACTGGTGATATAAGTGAAATAAATGTAGTTATAAAAAAGAAGGAGGAAATCCACCCGATTACTAGTACAGTTTCTAAAGCTCAAAAGTTTGGAGAGTTGATTGATTTGACTGATGAAGATGATTCAAGTGATAAAATATATTTAAAACACCCGGTTAAGGATGTCAGTTCAACCCGTCCCAAGAAAAGAAAAAATCAAGAAAAAATCCTACCACCTGTTATGGCGTTTGCTAAGCCAGTTAAATTGTTTAAAGCTATGCATCCGTCTATTTTAAAGAAACAGGTCTTGCGTGGTAAGGGTACAGAAATTCTAACAACAGCTATCCGAAGTGGGAATTCAGGAACCCGTGTAGACGGTAAGACAACATTCCAAATATTAAATGTAGGTCGTAAAACACAACATTTAGACCCAACAGAAGAAGTTGGCGACAAGGAAGACGAAAATCTCCAGAATTCCACGCTGGCTACAATTCTCCAGCAAACATCTTGCACGCAACAGTCTGATGAATCCGATGAAGAGCCCTTAGCGAAATTAGCTAAACGCAAAGAAAAATCAAAAATAGATGAAGAGGTTCAAAATACACAATTGATAGAAGTGTCAAATCATGAATTTCTTGATGAAACGACTAAGCCTCTGAATGATTCTGAAGAAGATTGTATTTTAGGTGTATAATCAGAACAATATTGTTTACTTTGTATTATATTTATTTATGCCTTGATAACTTCAAATAACTTACAATTTATGTTGTATTCTTTTATTGAGTAATAAACTGCTTCAACAATTTAAGCAAGTATGGATAATTTAAATTAAGCACCTTTGATGATTCGAAATGTATTTTTCTAAGTGAACTTATGTTTTACGTTTCGGTCCACATTTAGTAAAAAAAATATTACGATATATACATAATCGCGGTTTAAACCGTTGAAAGTGTTTATTTAAATTCTCTATTCTCTACTCATGTCTTGGTTTTGTTTTATTTACTGTCACGTCAGTAATTATTTGTTACAGGGTAAGATTACCCTAACCTCTGTGATATTAAATGTATCTATAATACTGTAGTCAAACGGTTGCGGGTGCTGATTAGCAATAAATTGTGTCGGTCGGACAGGACACACGTCTGATCAATTACTTGCCTGTAAAAAAAACCGTTTAGTAAAACGGGGTTTCATTTTATGCTTTATGCTAAATTAAAACGCAACATATATACATATAAACTAATGATTTATGCTCTTGACCTGACATATCAAGTAGCTAGAAGTCATAGGCTTAAGAGGTCCTGGGGTAACATAATAAATCGTTACAGTCGCGCACATGCGCACCATTCTATTTTTTAAACGTACGTTGTTGATCTATCAATCTAAATGAAATGAAGATGCCAGAGGCAGAGTGGCCTAATAACAAAAAACACGATTTTTAATAAGGTTAATTAAAATGCGCAAATAACTAATGATTTTGTACTATAATGTAAGAATTATGTTAACAATTTTCGGTCACTGTGCACTTGAAGATTAAAATTTTTAGACAATGAAAATATAAAAAACTCAAGTTATAAAATGGCAGTTATGTGTATTCCGCCTCTAGGCCCTTCAAATATTTCAAAATCTTACCTCTTTTAAATTTAAATATATACTTCATGCATGAGTTACGTTTCTAAATAAATCCACTTATAAGTTTCATTAACGTTATCTTGGATATGTAGGGATACATCACATTTGAGTGTTTTGTTTTAATTACAAATATGTTTGTATATTGTACTGTTTCATTATTACAGTAGGTAATATATAGTCTAGTCTATAGATTAATTTATAACAAACAAGAAAAAAAATTACATTTTATTTAAATATTGTTTATTCATCTTATAACAACACCAAAAGACTGTACCGCTGCTTTCTCAATTTCCTTGTGAATTTGGTTGACTTCAGCTTGCGTAAGAGTTCGTTCTAAATGTCTATATACAATGCTGTAACACAAACTTTGCTTCTTCGTTTTTGGATGTACAAATTTGTCTTTTAACTTAACCTGAAAGGAATTGAGAAATTTAATGAAATCTATACAATTGGGTCCCTTATTAGCCAATCACTGATGACTTGTTATGGTTTTTTTTATATGACAGAAGGGGGCAGTAAGCTTGGGGGTCGCTTAATGGGTGGTAAAAACCCCAGCCACAGAACATATAAACAAAATTTAGGATATGGTTCTGGGCCTGGATGGAATTTTGATATACCCACTACTCTATATCCAAACTGTTTCAAAAAAATTATATACCGATTTTAAAAGTATATTGGACATAGTGGGAATTGAACCCGTGAACGCTTAATTTTTAGCCATAAATTGCTATCATTGCACCAATAAGCCCATCTGTTAAAAGAAGATTAGAACAACCAAGCTGTAAATCTGTATATGTAGAGTTAAAAATGAAACAAAAAGCATATGAGTTTTAAAATTATCAATTGGTATGGCAATAGTAAGGTAAGCTGTTGGTCTTGGATTCAAACTCTGCCAGTGTCCTCCATATAGTGAAAATAGGTTATAGAGAATTATTCACATAATACTTTTAATTCTCTACAACAGTTAATATTCATAGATATTTCATTGTTTAGTAGTGCAATATTTTATGACAATCTCATTCTTACTTGTTCAATAATATCGCCACCAACATCTCTAACCAAGTCATAAAAGTCATTACTCATAAATGTATCTATTGTTAATTCATTTGGTAGCCAAAACGACAGATCGTTAACACATTGTGGATATGAAGATACTGGCTTATAAGTTATATCTGCGTTGATATCTTTATTTTCAAACTGTGTTAGGAATCCTGAGTCAGTACTCCACATGAGACGTATATCGGGTATTTTGTAAAGAGCCATAACAAGACGTTCCAAACCCAGCCCAAATGCATATGCAATACTGTTATTTGGTCCAGCATTCATTAAAATTTCATTTCGTACTATGCCACATCCGAGGACTTCCATCCATTTGTCCTCATAAAAAATTTCCATTTCCCAAGACGGATGGGTAAAGGGAAAATAGGCATCCACCCATCTGTGTTTAATATTGTCACCGAATAATACTTTGACTAGTCCAAGTAGATGATTTTTTAATTGATTTTCCATAAGTTTAGTGGCTTCTAGTGTGTGGCAACTTTGCTTTGTTGGATCATTGATTGAATTCTTAAAAGATTGTGATTGGTCTAAGAAATGCTTTTCAAATATTTCTAACCCCTGGTGATTTTCAAATAACTGTTCTTTTCTTTGGGATCTTACAGCATCTACCTGAAATGAAAAAAATACTTTCAGTGTTGTGTACATTGTATACAAATATATGATAGTTTTTAAATATGGATTGCAATTTCATAAACATGCAATAAGGATTACCACATATAGACTATTAGAGGGACTAAAATAAGGTCACAAATTAAGCTATTAGCAAATTATATGTGCTCTGTTTTAAATTATACCTGATGGAATACTGGAAAGTGTGTTGAATCAATTTCGTCTCGTCTATAAACATCTCCAATCATAAGAAAATTATCCAATCCTGCTCGAAGTAGCTCACTTTGATGTGCTGTCATATGAGCTCGTAACAGCAGGGATTTGTTTACATAATAGCAGTCAGACTTGGCTCTACTAACATGGTCCTCTGGGATTAACAAATCGTCGAAATTTTGCTTCGTAGATACGATAGGCTTAAGGTTATCGTATACACTAAAAGAAGGGTTCCCACCGTGTGTGAACGACGAATAGAAATAGTTAACTATTCGTTGCCGGACTAGAGATAGTGGATGACCCTTTTGAAGGTGTAAATTTCTATTTAAATAACTGAGTATTTTGGGAGTCACATTAGTATAATCATCGGTGCCATAGTCCTCATTATTTATCCGAATAGACGCGACAGATTTAGCGGCGGTGCTGTAGCAATGTTTGAAAATATTAAACGAATACGACGTTCTGATTAGTAGATTTGTCATGGTTTTAATTAGTTTTGCACCGCATTTATTTGATAGTTTTAGCTTTAAATACAGTAATGTTTTACTATTTATTTTATGTTAATAAGGTAAGACTATAAGGGATAGTTAAATTAGAATCAAAACAAAATTTATTACATTTGGCACTTATCAGCTGCTATGTGTTGTCCTATGTAAGGTGGTTAATGCGAATGTCACATCTATTAAGAATTGTATTTTTTGTGGAGAAATACAAACAACAAATTGTACAGTATTTTTTAGATTCAGTGGTATCCAGTAATAAATGAGGTGCCGGATAAACAAATAACATTATTAAGAGAAAATTTTCTGTTTTAACTGGATCAGTCTTGAGAAATTGTTTAAGTTATTTTAGATTATTAAGATTAAGATATAAAATGACGTTTTATATCTTAATGTATACTTATAATATTAAACATCATAATTTTATGCTACTCGAATAACACTATAATTCTGGCATTCACAAAATGTTTGTATCTGTTTCATAAAAAAACGAATACGCCATACTTGTTAACTATATAATAAAATTTTCTAATCTCTGGTCCAAAAACTTTTTACATATACTATATAACCATAGAGTAGAGTAAAAAATTTAAATGTAGAATAAAAATAATGTGAAATAGAACCATTACAAGTTCTGACTTCTGAGGCACCGGTTAAATACTATTAATTTATAATTACATAATTATTTGAATTTAATATAAAGGAAACATAAATGATATCCAAACGACTATTACACTTGGCGCAACTTAGCGCAGTAGGATTTACGGGTTATTTAATTGGACAGCAAGATAATTCTAATAGAGATGATTCCGTGGTAGTTAATGGGAAAAAACTATCTAGTTTACCAGCTTTGCCAATATTTGGCACTGTGTCTGCTGCGACGCCTTATGCCGAAGGGGGGAAATCTAAAGATAGAGTAAGTTTAAATTGTTGAATAATAATTAATAAGTTAATATAATTGTATGTATATAATAACCTAAAATGTACGCAAAACTGTATTCAAGTTCCTATTAAACACTAATTTAAAATTGAACGCCAACTAATTTTGTACGTCGCTTCAGCTTCGTATCTTAACTTATAATTTTTTAGGATATAAATAATGCAAACTAACAGAACAAGTAAAAGTTGACCTATTATCTGCATTATTTAATTTTTGAGAAAATTTGCTATTATCCTTTATATATTTCTATCTAACATTCAATATCTAAATAATAATAAGTTAAGCATGCGGTGGAGGTTATGATGCATTTCTCTACTTTACAGGTTACAGAAATAATGAAATATGGTTTTCCAGGCTTAGACAATGTTCGATCCTATGATGATTTTGTTTTGTCCTATGACAGAAGAACACGGGTCCCCCATTGGGTTTTTGAGCATATAACAAAGGAGCATATATCTAAGAATGATGCAGTGGACCGAAGTAAATGTGATTTTAAACCAGATGAAAGCATTCATCCTTTCTTCAGGTATATATTTTATATATAACACTATTTATTATTTATAAATAAAGTTGGAGAAGCCTTGGAAAATAGAACAACAGCCAAATTTGACAGAATTATTAAAGTAATCCCCTTGTAAAGTGCTTGCTTTAAAATAATAATACAATTCAAGCAAAATAAACTAGCCGCTTTTATAGGAACTCTTTGCAATTTTAGATCACAAAACGCAGATTACAAGGGATCTGGTTTTGATAGAGGTCATATGGCAGCAGCTGGTAACCACCGCTTAGCTCAACAACATGTTGACCAGACTTTTTACCTTACCAACATGGCTCCACAGGTAAATTTTTTGTGTTGGATTTTTTTTTAGGTTAAATTTTATGTGTAAAAGAAAGGTTTTTATAAATAATTTGATTTAAACCAGGATCTCTCTGCCATACAAAATTCAGGGCTCACATTATAAATATATCCCAAAAAAACATAAATTGCCATAACACATTTTCTACGATGTTCACAGGTCGGCCAAGGTTTTAATCGGGATTCTTGGAACAGGCTCGAGAAACATGTTAGAAAGTTGACAAAAGTATATAACAATGTATACTGCTGTACAGGACCTTTGTATTTGCCAAGGTGTGTTATTATTACTTTTTATTATAAGATATAATAGTTGAACATTCAAAAAACTATTGTTAATCTATTAACTAATCATGTTGGACCTGGTGGAAAACAAATCTCTGGCTTAATGAGGTTATACTTAAAAATATTGTATGATACTCACAATTGCAAGATTTCTCTCCTATTTTACTTATAATTACTTACTCCCCAGAAAGGAAGCCGATGGCAAGTCATATGTTAAATACCAAGTGATCGGAGCAAATACTGTAGCCGTACCAACTCATTTTTACAAAGTAGTTGTCTGTGAGGCTGGAGACGGAAGCTTGCATATGGAGTCCTATGTTATGCCAAACCAGCGATTGCCAGATGAAACTCCTGTGTCTTCTTATATGGTAAGATGCAATTTCAATCATAACTTTTTAGAGATTTTCATCTTAAGACTAAATATAGTACTAACCATTTGCCGCTTACAAAAAAAAAATGTTTTACAGGTACCACCTGAAACAATTGAAAAGGCAGCTGGGCTCCTCTTCTTTGACAAGATACACCGAAGCAAGTTGACTACAATTAATGGGAAGAAAGTTTAGTTAGTTGCTGGAGTGCAGTATTAGTTATAAGATTATATATATTACATTAATTTAAAAAATGCTGTATATATGGTTATGAGTTGTAATAAATGATATTGATGTTTTAATTATAATTTTACTATTCTGTAAAAAAATCATCTATATTCTATACCAATAGACCTAAAAGTTTGTTAGAAACTACTGGTTTGAATTTAACAATTTTTTTTAATGGTCCAACCATTTATCGATGAAGTCTATAGATTAAACATCAGGTTACGACCAACTCATAAAACTTTGCGGCAATCAAATTTTGGTCAAAGTAACGTTTAAAAAGTATGTTCTCCAGGTCAGCTAATTAAGAATAAGTTGAAAACTGCCTAGTTTAGACTAAACCAAATCCATTCCTTTAGGTGCAGAAGGTTGGAGATCGAATCATTCTATGGCATATTATAAATGTGATCTCAAGCTAAGAAGAGATTTAAAAAAATATAGTATATAAACACTATTTTGGAACCGTGCCCCGATTTTCCACTTCACGGCTGTTCCATGTGTGGCGAGTGGTGAAATTTTAAAAGTACCATATATACTAATATAATAATAGCCTTTATTTACCGAATGTTTACATTATTAAAAATTATAAAATATCTCTAATTTTGGTGTACCTTTTGACAAACGCCTCCTCCCACTGCTTCCATTGCACCCGATCAGTTGCTACCCTGGTCCAGTAGAAGGAAATCTTTATATAATATATAATCCAATAACGGTTACAAACAAAGAAAAGTCAAAGTTAGTTCATAATATATAAAATTAAAGTCAGTTTTATAAAAATGTGGTATATTGAATATGTAGTACAATGTATACAAGGAGGCGTGTATTTTGAGCTCAGTTTTCGTCATCATCATCTGAAGCTCCGTTCTGTTGTGGCTCATCATCTGCGCCTGCGTCGCCCATTCCTAAAAAAAGGAAAATGAAAAATAATTCAAATAAAATGCGATACCTCGAATTCACACATTAATAAGCGACTACTATTAATAATAATTTATTCAAAACTGCATAAAAACCAGTTGCCAGTAGTGTCTGAGGTAAGTCACACAAATAGGCTCAGAGATAGGTAAAGAGAAAACGTATTAAGTATTCTAATAATAGCTCGATAATTATTAAAATATAGTTTTGATTAGGAACTTAGTTACACCCAATACTAAAATGTTCAATAAATATTGTACTCAATCTTAATGATCAATGACAACATTTATTGAACAGACAAGTTCATACAATAAATACAACAATGACTGTATTAGGCCAGTTTAGATTGAGGATTCTCAATAGTGCGAACTATTGAAGGTTGTTGATGATAGTACCTTGGTCCTCATCTTCCTCCGCCGAGTCACCGGCGATTTCAGCGTTTTCAGCCTCCGCACGCTCCATCTGTCTAGCCAGCTCGGCTTCGTCGGTCGCCGTAACCACTTTCGGCTAAAGAAATATGAAAATATGCTTTATGTATGCCAATAAAATAAGGTGTGTTTAATTGGATGAACTGTTTAGGAAGTACCAATCCAATTTGAAAAGTCATGTATTTTCAAAAACTCACCGCCATCTGTATATTAAATACACCACCAGATGCTGTTATTGTGTCATTAATTTTATCAATTGCATCCTGTAAAGCTTTGAGACCATCAGTCTTCTCTGGTGTTGAGGTTGTCATGACTGTAAGACCACAAAATGTTTAATTGGTAAATTTTTAAATAAGCTTTTCGTATGCATATAAATTTTGCAGACAACAAATTACTTTTCAGTTCTGTTACAATGATTATGGTTACTAAACAGGTTTACTTAAATATTATGAAGACTGTATCTAATAAATAGCACAAGACCGAGATAAATAGGCATCTTCGGAGGAGGCCTATACCCAAATCGGGGTTCTTGTTGATTTATAAGTTTTGAACATCACATATATTTAAATTACTAACATTATAAGCTTGGGTCCTAACAAAATGGGTTAAATGTAATATATCAACAAATAATGTAAAAAGCAAGAAATAAAAGGCATATTATTATTAATATCTGATAAATAATTAAGAAACTGCATCTGAATTCTGTCTACTTCAAACACTTGAATGTTGTTACAGGGCACAGTTCTACCAGTATCTATGCTGAGATACAATCAGAGCTAATATATAAAGCTAAGAAAGAAAAGAAGAGTTTGTTTGTTTGAATGGGGTAATCTCAGGTTGGAATTGAAACATTCTTTTGTTGGTGACAGCTATAAAACATAGCGCTGTGACTAATAGGAGCGAAGAAACAGCGGGAAATTAAAAAAAAAAATGGTTCAAGATATCAAAAAAATATGTATGAAAGATTGATTTCACTCTAAATGATCTAAAAAAAGTTGGTGACAGTATATGTCTTATTAATTTTAAGATTATCTTTCAAGAACGACGAGACGTGGACGACGACGACGTTACTCACGAGGGTAACAGCTTTAATTTAAAGAGTTGAACAGGAGGTTTGCAAAAACAAAAATTAATGCTTAAAATAACTTTTCTTCGCATACAAAGTTGCTGACTCAGCTAGTATTATATTATATATAAATTAAACTTGTGACCTTACCATACAGAGGTGGAGCAATGAGATTAATTTTGATAGGCATTTCTGCAGTTGATAATGAGAGCCCAGCTTTCAAGGCAGCTTTTACTGCATCGATTCCTTCATATCCGTAGCATGCACACTCAATATCAGCCCTTATTTTCACTGCTTGAGAGGTAAGTTTCCTCTTAATATTTGCCAATAGGACTTCTTTAGTTTTCTCATCAAGACCACATTCATTTAGAACTGAAGGATCTCTGGAATTTTAAAAATATATGATTATTGAAAATCCTGTCTATATCCCCATTGAAATATAGACATAGAAAGGATTTATTCAATAGTGAATTAATTTTCATATGCTCTCATGTGAATAAGAATTCTGAAATTAAAAAATTTTGATGAGTAGAAAAGGTTGAGAAGTTACAGAAAATTTATTAAAGTATAAGAGCAAGAGTCAAGCTGAAATACAATACTTTTCAAGGCAAAGTAAGATATTTTGTGGTGTATCTGGTGTTATCTCCAAAATTAGAATTCAGGAACTCTTAACAACAATGCAATGCAAAGTCTTATAAATAATATTACAATAAAATTAAGATGATACTCACACAGCAGCTTGCTTAAAGAAGTCATAAGCCGAGGCTTTCTTCTTGTATTTCTCTTCAAATAACCAAGCTGTTCTTGTATACAGGTCTTCTAACTGTTGTGAGTTTTCGTAATGCAACAACTCAGCTACGTGTCTCAGGATAGAGTTAACAGCTTTCGCCTTTGCATACCGCTCTGTACATTTGTCTATATCCTCCGCAGATACACGACGTTTTGACAAATCTATATATCCTGGAATACATTACCAACATCGCATTTAGTGTAGAAGTCATATAATTTACAATAACTTTTAATTAAAGATGGGTGTTTGGCAGAAACGGTAATTCATAAAATTGTGCATTATAAATGTTTATAATTAAATACTTAGCAATAAAAGCTGTCAATAAAATTATGATAACAGGTTTCTCTTTAATGCTTGTTTCTTTTTTATGGTCTTGTAAGTTTATCTTTACTTAAAGGTATAGTGGTTACCTTTTTCTTTATCCACTCTGATGACCACAACAGGCTCGGTCTTACCCACGCGAATGAGCTTGTTGATTGATCTAATACGACGCCGAGACAACTCTGAGAGTAAAATCATGCCCTCGATATTGTTGTACTCAAGGAGATGTACGTACGCGCCCATCTCAGCGATGGAGCGTACGTTCACCATCACTACATCCTCCACTTCAGGATATTTCTCCTGATAAAACCTACAGGTTAAGGGCATCTGAAAATAGTAAATATTATAACCTCACCTTCAGATAGAATACACAGAAAAAGATAAAATACTAAAGGAAATCACATTAATTCCTAATGAAACGAACCTTGCAGTGGTTAGATGTGTAATTTCTGAAATATTACAATTAAAAAGATCTGACGAAATATTGTTGTTCACGTTGAGGCTTTCAAAGACGCTTGACAGTGACAGTTTGACTCCTGTTACTTATAAACGTCAAGCTTGATGATTACCACAGTTAATAATAAAACATAGGTGATGATAATAACTTGAAGAATGTAATAAGCATTTAATTCATCAATAACAATTAATAATTAATTCATTAATAAAAGCCCAATTATAGCTGTGTTATTATATTAGACGCTGTTTTTTCGTAATTCGTTGTTCAATAACTGGAAAGGTATATTTAATTATTGATATAAAGCTTCTTTATCTTAAAAACTTACCTTTATTACTTTTATTCATACCTATATGACTCTATATCTTCTTGAATAAGTATAAAGGCTTACTGCACAGGATACAAAATAATAATCATTTGATGTTCAGATAAGTCAAAGACATTGACCTAGCACCAACGGACTATTTATTATTCTGGATATTCTGGGTCAAACTATTTAGATGCCAGGAATTCCCATTAATTGCTATCCATTTGTGTTGACTAATTGACTTCCTTGAAAACATGCTCTCGTCTTAATTAATATGCAAACTATTTTAAAAATAAAAAAGCGCACAATGACGTAAGCGTGTTAATTGATAATTAAATAATTATATTGGTGTTGTAGATCGATATAAGTCTAGTTTCGACTTAACCATGATAGGTTTTTAAGCAGTGGCGTAGCTATCGTAGGGCGCGGTGGTGCAGTGCACCTGGGCCCTGGACCTTGAGGTGCCTTTGCCCTTTAACCGAAGCTTTGAAAAAAGCGAGTCAGCCCACTCACCAGCTCCTCAAGCTAAAAGAAAGAGGGGGGAGGTCCCAACTCATTCTCTATGCACCCTTGCCGTGGTGTCTCCCTGTGACCACGGCTGCTGCAAAATATTGTCAAATTTTAATAAAACCCTGTTCTTTCATGTGACACACATCCCTATGTCCGTTTTCTTGCATAGAAATGCAGATGTTTACGTTTTGTTGACTCTCTTTGTAAGTTATCTTGTCTAAATCTCTTTAATACATAAACAATATAATATGTATTTTGGACCTTACTTAAGGAACCCTTATTTTTTAATGGTTAGTTTGCAGGAGGTGAAATGTACAGCCATTTCATATAATTATTTTATAGTTATTATATTACAGTGACAGGCTCTGAAACCAGGGCCCCTCTAGATTTAATTTCACCTCTGCAACGCAAGTTGTCATACCAACAATTAATAGATATATATATTTGTGTGGTACTCTCAAGAAATCAGATCTTCGTTTATTAGCTGTTTAGATTCCGTTTCAAGCAGTGTTTCAATTGACGCGATGTTCGGATCTTAGTATCGCGTGTGAAAATATTATATACAAAATGGAATTCTCTAGGTAAGGCTTATATTTATTTAAATATAAACAAGGTATAAAGATTTAAATCACAGAATTAAGCAGAAGTTATTTATATTAATAAAAATATTATTTTTGTAATTCTTAATGATATTGTCTATAGTTTACGCGAGTACTACACATTTAAATAAAACACTTTAACTGTTTAAAACGCGATTAGTCAAACTTATTAGAAAATGATTTTTAGCTTCGGGCCGACGTTAAGGATGCTTTGCAGCAGCCGTGGTGATATTGTTATTATTTTAAAATTGGTTAATTTCAGTACGTACATTTTTATCATTCGATTTAAATAACCGTAATTATTGTTAAATAAGAATTTTATATTATTTTTTGTATTGGATAGTTTCAGCTCCTTTTTACTTATTAAAAATCTTTCGTATAGCTCTGAATATAGTATATTATTATTATGCTACCATATATATATATAAAAAATACTTTTACTATTGTTCATTTTCCAAAACATATTGTATTATATCAGTAAATATTTCTAGTATTGTGGAAAAGAATAACTATAGGGAAGAACTAACCAGGATTGTGATTTGAGATTACTAAAATCACTATTTGAAAAAGTGGTGTTGAAAGGTAGGGGGAAAAGTTTTGAGTTTTTTGTTGTTTTAAAAACAATTTAACACAGTAAATAAAAAAATGTAATAGTATACATATAGACAACTCACTAAGGTATACAAAAAATTTATATCATTCTGACAAGAGAATTTTGTATGAGATTATAAAGAAAATCCCAGGCACTAATTTTCAAACTCTTACGAAAGTATCGAATGCGGGTGATGTTTAACGCAACCATTTTACTAACAAGCTTAATGTGCAGATAACTGAATTTTGCATCTCAAATTAAACAAAGCGATATACCACAAAATGGTTCATAAATATGAAACTGCGGTGTTGGCGGGGGCGTTTTAAAATTGTATTTGCATCTACTTGCATGAATAAATTAAAGGAATAACTGTACTCTGGGGCTTAATAGCATAATCTGTGGTGTAGGGAGCTTGCCAAAACGCTCTTTCGAATTACTATACAGTAGCTCTAACCAGGAAGGCCTAGCAGCTGACCGGTTTGAATTATTTTTGCTGTAATTCTTTCTAGCCAACACGTATGATGTTATATTAAATTAAGAAATACATTAATAATATATCCAATGCATATATTTTTAAAAAGAATGATTTCAAGTGAATTATTACAATGTTTGTAGTTTTCTTTTCTTGAGTAATTCTTTTATACTTAGGCGTTTTTTTTCTATAGTCTTTACTTTTAATATTTTGAAAGGCAAAATGTCCGTTTAAAGACACACATAATATACTCTTTGTTATTAATTTAACTGTATCAGATGTGCTTAGTGTTGCGGATTAACATTCGCTTAAAAAAACTATATTAAAGCTACTTTAAGCCCGCCATTGTTTTGTTATTGTATACCGATAAAACGGCATATATTTTTTTAATGTTGGCCCTTGTCAAGTGTACTACTAAGCTTTAAACCAACAAGGTCGAGTGATGTTCAATCCTAAAGTAGTCTAAGAGGCGTCTCTCTTAGAGAGTCGTTACTTTAACAAACAAACAAAAGAATAACTAAAGCACATCACTAGCTTGCGATTTTAGATGTATCGCGTTGAAATTCGTCAAAATTGTCTCCTATTGAGTGTTGAAGGTCGCCGGAGACTCGGTTCAATTAACTATTAACCCAATCGAGATTTCATCGAAAGTGGGACATGATTTTTATTAGACACATTTATCATAATATCGCTGACGTATAACGAAAAAAAATATCTTCCTGTTAACCTAACTATGTCCCACAGTTGGGCACAAGTCTTCTCTCTTATAGAGTTTAAGAGCGAAACTCTAACGACAACCGTACATGAATAACAAAGAAGAATTCTCTGCGGTTCGGATATAATATATTTTAGGCCTGATTACTTATATAATTAACTAGCTGCGTCAGCGACTCCGTTCATCTAATCCAAATTTGTTCTTTGTAAACCTATTCTTCATCTTTATAAGTTTAAGCTGTTACCATGACATCGGTCGCGTCCCGTCATTCTTGCAAGTTAATATTAAAGGATAGACATATAGCGTCCCGGAAATTTTTTAAAATCATTTCAAGACGAATAATTCTTTTATACATATTTTTTGGGTGTCTTGAAGCGTTTTCGCAGCGTACGCATCGGAAACCCAGCGAGATGATTAATTTTCCCTGTTTTTTGTCTTCACATTTCTCGCTGTATCTTCGCTCCTATTAGTCACAGCGCAATGCTTTATAGCCTATAGCCTTCCTCGATAAATGCTCTATCTAACAAAAAAACTTAACTTTTCAATTCGAACCGGTAGCTCCTGAGATTAGCGCGTTCATACAAACAAACAAACTCTTCAGCTTTTTATATTAGTATAGATGAAATTAAAAAGCGAATATTATTTGCGACACCTTTTCATTTCTCAGACAAAGAGAGATATTTTAAGGTGGTTTCATTGTTCCTGGTCGAGTGGTCTTAAGGTATATATGTAGATACGCCATCAAACACCCGGCATCACATTTAAGTGGCATATTTTATTTTAATTGTATCTTCTTAGCTGAAGAAATCGTAATTTCTTAGTGACTGGTATGAAAAAACATAAGTAAGAGTTTAAATATTGTACAATTTGTTTGTATGTTTGTGTGAAATATAAAATGGGCTACACAAAATTACTGACGTTAATAATGATTATAGTAATGAACACTGGAACGAGTCGCAAGGTCAATTTATTTCTCATGATCCGAATTGTGCATAAATGTAACTGATACGAAACCCGCAATGAACACAATCGTCTTTGACTATTAGAATTTAAAATGTTTAACCCAAATACACTTATGTACGTAAGTTTTCCTCATAAATACTACTAAATAACTGCGGTGAATGTACTGTCTGTAGTTTACACGAGTAGTACACATTAAAACATTTTTAACGGTTGAAAACGCGATTTATATTAGAAGTACGGGCCCACGTGTCAGATGCTTTGCAGTAGCCGTGGTCACGGGGCAGTTATTTTTTTTTGTTAATTTAAGTACCGAGTGTCCCTACTTTGTAGTTAAATTAGATTAAGAATAAGTTAAGTCATATATTCGCGTTTTAAACCGTTGTTTAAGACTTAACGAATATCTTGTATAAAAATACACATTCTTTCAAAGTATTTTTAAATATTTTTTGTTTTTCAGGCTTACTTATATAATATGTATAATAATGATACATGCATTTACGTCTGCCGAGATTTTGGACGATAGCAGTAAGTAGTATTGCTTGTTTATTCTTGGCAATTATTTTTTAGTAATTTTTCTTTCTAACAATAACCATAGTTGTAAGGACTCTAAACAAATGTTAAATAAGACAAGCCATCAATACAATCTAATCTGTTCATGCTGTATCTCACAATGCATCTAATAGTTTACACAGAATAGTAATATGCATATCAAAGCGATTATACGCAACAAACTTAATAAATGCTACGGAACCCTAAGTAGGTACAGTACCCCACTCGCACTTGATATACTTATATGGTACATAAGAAATACCACTCACACACACACACAACGGTTTATAAAAAGTTTGTGTACAAATAAAAAAACGCTTTTAACCATAACACCCCTTTTTAATTCCAGCCAGTACTATATCACCTCTAAACTCGCTTCTATGTTCGCGTCGTCTACCTGGCGATGTCGACTTCCAGACTGTGGATCTCATAGCTGTGTACCGTCTGGATAGGCCTGATGTCACCGGCGTTACCTTGGTGCAGGGCTCTCAGGATCTTCAGCGAGCTTATAGGATAGGCGGCGGTGCTAATCTAACTATGCCTGTCCGGTGAGTAATTACATAACTAGATTACGTTAAATACGTTAAATATAAAAATTGTTACGTTCGAGCTGGGCACAGTTCGATCAAGTAATCGCCTATAAATATAATCTCGCCTATACCCATATAGGTTGGGCCCTGACGTCTATACTTTTACTTTGATAAGTATCTTACGTTACGTTATTGTTCATGGAAATTTTATTTTTTGATTATGCAATTATATTGCTATCTGCGTATAAATTAAATAATATAATAAATTGAACTTTACGTGACTTGAAATAATAAGCATAATATTATACTTTGTAATGGATCATCAATTCAGATTTTGGCATAACAAAATAAAAGAAATTTCGTATTTGTTCGGAGTAATAAAATAAAATTGGGGGTACTTTTGTTTTTCGATAAGACGGATGAACGGAAGTAGCGCGCGCTGTCCGACACTTTTGGGTGCCGTTCGTGCGAGTTTGTAATTGTTTATGTGACTGCCAAGTAAGAGTATATGTTTTAACGCCTGCGTATAAGGTAGATTCCTAAATATTGTCATTTAAATTTCCGCGAGTCCAGTACGTTATTAAGAGTGATACATAATCGTAAATTCAGTGTACATACTACGTAGTGACGTAACTATATACCCGACCCCTTTTGTTTTTTAATATAATTATATTCCATCTTATATGGGCGCATTTTAATCCCAACTACAATACGGACTGGCACGTCACAATACTAGTGTACTAAATTTTGGACGATCATTGAGCCAAATCATGTGTTTATTAAAAGTGTGTATCAATGTGATTGTTCTCGTCCTTGTAACACAGTCTAGTGAATAATATTTTTACAGACAAGTCTTTCCCAATGGTCTACCAGAGCAGTTCAGCCTCACGAGTACCTTCAACGCCAGAAACCAACAACGGCCATGGAGCCTCATCAGAGTACGAGGGCAGAATCTCTTGTTCTCTCTCACTCTCCTATCTCATGTCAAGAAAATGGCTGTATTTGTACAAAAGACTAGAGTTATCTTCTCTTGTCCAGAGGTAGTGATTACTTATGAATCACCTTATTGCTTTAGATATTGATAATGCTACGGCCACGTCAATAAGTTGTCGGCTTGATTCCCATTAGATCCAACATTACTAAAAAAGTATATATATATTTTGTGTTGAAAAATAATTGACTTCATCTGAGTATCCTATCACGTACCAAGTTCCACAGTCGTGGAAAGACGTAAAGTGTAATCTCGTTACGGTTTCATTCTGGATTTTTAAATGTGCCATATATATATACATTCACACACATATAGACTATATATCATATAGTCATATGGATCTATAGCGCAACTAGTATAGATTTTGTGGTTCTGGCTTATTTTACGTTACCCAATGCGTGACACCTCTTTTTTGTTTTTTTTTCAAACGAATATTTAAAGGAATTACCATAGATACGTTTCTTAGGAACCATTCAGGATTCTTAAGCTGCAACATTAAATTACTCTATAATCTCGTAGCTTTATCTATAAAGTATTCCTTCTAAACTTCCAGCTGTTTCGTGCTGGCTGGCATAAAATTCACATTACCATTACCAACGATACTGTGTTCGCTGCCGTGGATTGTATTGAGGTAAATATTACTTTTAAAACAGTACAACTTGTTTTAAAAGAGTTTATTTTCTCTTAAACTTAAACAAATAATTAATAAACTTATGAAGTATATTACGTCGTTTTCTATTAGAGACACAAAGAAAATTTTACAACTAAGACTAGCGACTGTCTTTCATAATCGTGTTGACAACCGTGCTACACAAGCTTATTCTAGTTACTGCCAATTTCTTTGCAAAATCCCACAAAACTAACCCGAACCGGAATACGATTCCTAGAACTCTTATAATTTGCGATAAGATAATTTGCAGTCATGTGTTCTAGACCAGCGAGGAGAGCAACACTTAGAACAACTGCACAATACAATTTCCTGGTATCTTATACCTTTGTTGGGTTAATTACAGCTAGAGCCAGAAGAAATAACTTCTCACAGCTTCAACAATGCCACCACAGTCACCATAGTTTCCAATGACGATGGTACACCTGCATCTGTAAGTATGACTACCTGCACAATGTATACGAAAAATAAATATTTTTTTGAGGAGTTTGGTCAGGAAGAAATTGTAAGTTTGCCATATTATCGAAATTAACAGGGGCTTATACTGAAAAAAATTGTAATCCTAAATCTCATACCCTATTTATGAGATTGATGGGGGATATCATTCAAGGATTTACATAATGGACGCACACAACACTTCAATATAGTCGGTCTAGCAGTTTCGGAGAAAAAACAAACATCGCATTTTTTGTAAGAAACTTAAACGCCCTATTAAAGGTTTATGTTTGGCTGAATCACAAATATATTATCCAATTTTCAGTTTGTAAGATCCAAAAAGAGAAGAATATAAACTTCCAAGCGTGATTGTGTAGTTCAGAAACTTTATTTTCTTTTACCATGTTCAGGCTTAACGGTTAACGTGAACTATATAATAATAACTATTTGTAATTCAATTTCAGGTCGATCTTCAGTGGCTGTCTCTAAGTTGTAATCCTTTTAACTTGACCGAGGAGAGTTGTGAAGAAATCGTAAGTAACATCTAATGTAATCGTTTTTTAAATAGGAAATAAGCTAGAAGGATTTAATCACACAAGGAAATTAGTCTTTTATTGTAAACCGACCTCACCGTTTTATATTAAATTTCCTTATCTATGTCATTATATCTAAATTAAACTAGGTTTAAGTTTCCGAGATTTTACTATATAAACCGTTTACAACCAAAACTATTTAACAGAGTAAAAGATACACATCCGAAATTGCTTATTACAGTTTTCTTTTCAGGAGTTAGCAGAATCCTTGATTGAAACACCACTGGTTAGTTTTTATTTTTTTATTTCAAAAAGGCTTACCAACAAATTTATATTAATATATAAAGCTGAAGAGTTTGTTTCGTTGTTTGAACGCGCTAATCTCAGGAACTACTGCTTCGAATTGAAAAAACCTCTTTTTAATGAAGTTGTTGCGTTTTGTGTTGATTAGAGCATTTATCGAGGAAGGTTTTAGGCTATGTGGCATCGCGCTGTGACTAATAACGACGAAATGTGAAAAAAATGTGGAAAAAATATTCATCATTACGGGTTTCCGATGCGTAACGCTGCTAAAACTGTTACCCAAAAAAATGTTGGAAGAATTATTCCTCTTTAAATGTTTTAAGATTAACTTGCAAAAACGACGGGACGCGACCGACGTCGTGGGTAACAACTTAAGTTTATGAAGCTGAAGAGGAGATTTGCAAAAACAAATTTGGATGCCCAAAATTATTATTCTACGCAGACGAAGTCGGTGACACAGCTAGTACTTAAGGCTTTACATATAAAATTATGAAATGTGACGAATATGTATTTAAATTAAAGGTATTTACAGCATTGGTATAAAGAAAATAGACGTAAAGTATGTATTTGTTACTAGGTTTATATTTTTTAGTTTAAATGTATCGGCCCGTCGCTTTCAAACGATAAATGCCGAAAGTTTGAATGTGGGACACAACAGATTACTTGAGTAATACGTTCACATACATATATGAAAATCTTTATAAAACAAACAAGAATCTGCAACTATGTTAAAAGGTGATTTCAAAACTGACTACAGACCGATAAATTTGAGACAGTTAAATATATTTTCACCATTTTCCTATAATATTTAAGAAAGGAGGTATTAAAAAACGCTTAATACATTAATATTTTTCAAATGTTGAAAAAGTTTACGTCACGAGCAAGACTTGAACCGGCATTCACATTGCGCGAGAGTATCATGTACTATTAGGTGTTCTACACATAACGTGAAGAACACGGTAACTCAATAGGTCAAGTCTTGCCCGTGTTGTGAAATAATTTTTCAATCCAGAATCGATTTTTAATTTATAAAATGCTTTTAGTCAACAGGGTCGCAATCTATCAACGGTAATCCATTTATAGGCTCCATTTGCAATGCAACTTGTCCACCGGTAAGTGCATGGTACTATATTTTATGTAACAAATTCTCCCGTACATATACACATGGGTCATGTCAACGTAGCGTCTGCTAAAACAACCCGGAATTAGTAAAGTAAAGTATACGAACGAGTGACATCATCAGATGAGAGATTTAATTGATCGCGCCTATAGCCAAATGGCGAGAGGTCCTGGGTTCGAATCCCAGGGAAACAAAAATTTTTTTCTGTCGGGCAGGGCACAGAAGTCTGATCAACTACTTGCCCGTTTGCCCGTTAAAAGAACTGATCAGTGAAACGGACACAGAAATATGTGGGGGAAAACGGGATTTTCACACAAAGAGAATTTGATAATAAATAGAAAAAAGTTTAAGCTTATGTAGAGCATTATTTGAACCAAAATTAATTGTCATGCATAGAATAATTTAAGCTCCCACTTCCTCCTTGAATTGGTTAAACATAGTATGTTATTTTTATTAATAACTTTCTAGGGCCCCGATGGTCCACAGGGAGCCAAAGGCGATCAAGGCGCACCGGGATATACAGGATTGCCTGTAAGTATAACTTATATACAGTCATACGTAAATAATTTATATTCTTTTTTTTTTTTTTTCTTAAAATTTAAAATTGATCTATATCTATTAAGAATCTAATATCGTCATTCCTCAAATATGTACAATTTAAATAAAAAAGATACATAATTACTCTAAACATTAAAAACTTGTGAAATCTAAATAATTTCAGGGCGTTCGAGGTATTCAGGGCCCACCAGGTGTTACCGGACCTCCTGGACTCAAGGGCGAGAGAGGAGAACAGGGTCCACCTGGAAATAGTACTAATGTACATATTTATAGATAGTGAATATAATTAATATAAATATTCGCTAGTTTTAATTAATGTCGTATCATAACTTTTAGGTATCTGTACTGCCAGGTGCTCCTGGCGAACCCGGGCGAAGAGGAATAAAGGGAGATAAAGGGGAAATAGGTCAAAAAGGTATGTACGTTAATAAAGTATGTAGTTGTTATCGCTGGGATACTAATATTCATTTATTTTTTATTAAATACTGTCCATAGTTTACGCGAGTAGTACACATTTAAATAAAACACTTTAACGGTTTAAAAGGCGATATATTAGTTAAACTTATTTGAAAATGATTTTTAACTTCGGCCCGACGTTTTGGATGCTTTGCAGCAGCCGTGGTCACGAGGAGACATGTGCTCTATAACGTATAATAATATAAGTTTAACTAATATATTGAGTTTTAAACCGTTAGTGTTTTTTTTAAATAAATTTTTTATTTCCAGGTGAACCAGGTGAAGTAGGACTTGTTGGCCTAGCTGGCTTGCCTGGAATCGATGGCAGACACGTGAGTCCATATAATTGTATACAAAATAATTACGTTAAGTTTCAGTCTTTAAGAATGAGTACTTGACTTTACAGGTCTTTTTTTTATAGAGCTTAGACCCACCGCGTATTTCTAGGGCATGTTGGTGGGCTTTTACCGTCACAGAATTTATATATCGTGACTCACAGCGACCGATGTTAATATATATCTCCTCTGCAAAAGATACAATATACTGTCTGTAGTTTACGCGAGTAGCACACATTTAAATTAATTGTTTAACGGTTTAAAACGCAAAGTAATTTTTAAACAAGTTTAACTAAAATATATCGCGTAACCGTTAAGTGTTTTATTTAAACAAATGTTATTTTTCCGTGAAAGAATCTTTTATTTTTTTTAAACTGTAAAAGTTTTCAATTTAGGGTAAAAGGCTAATACTCGTAATTATTTAACAAACCGTCAATACGCGAAATATAGTAGTTAATTTAATTTAGAAATCACTTTAGCCGTTCCATACATTTCGGTTTTAAAACGTTAAAAGAGTTTTATTTTAATGTGAAAGTAGGCCTTAACTCGTAATTATTACAGTCTAAATTCGTCAAATTCAATTGTTTTGTTTTTTTTTTATATTTGTGTTATTATTTTTAGTGACAAAACAACTTGTTAACGTTTTCGTATTAAAAGTCAACATATCTACAATTGTTTTCTTGCTTATGCTGATAGTAGGTAAGTCTCTAATTAAAGTATATTTTAGGGCGAGCCAGGACCTCCCGGACCTATTGGCCCTCGAGGTGAAACGGGGCTCCCTGGGCCTCCTGGGCCAATAGCACACGTAAATACCTCGTTGATACAAGGTCTGTTAAGAATAAGTGTTTAAAATAATATTCAAAGCAAACAATCTCATTTCTTTTTCTGTCGTTTTAAAAGTTACCTTGTTTTTGGTCTTTTATGCAAAACACGTCAGTGTTGCCCATTAGCTGGATCAGCGATAGGCGAACTACGGCCCGCGGGCCGGATCCGGCCCACCAGAGGCTGTAATCCGGCCCGCGAAACGTTTCGCAAAAATTTTAACTTAAAAAATTCAAATGATACCATATTATTTGGAACTTAATATTTTATCTACACTTAAAACATAGAAATTTCGTACATTTTATAACAATACCGCTAAGGTGACATTTTTTTTAATATGAAAAAGTATAGAAATAAAAAAAAAAAATTTTTGGTTTCAAAAAACAATGTTTTAAAAGTTTTAGATTTGTAGCCTTGCCCTCAATGATATTAATTGATCGGTCTGCGGCAAGTAGTATTTTTTATTTACCGGCCCGCTTAAAAACTAGTTGCCCGTCGCTGAGCTGGATCATCAATGATAGCAAATATGTACCCATAGAATTGTTCTAAGTGTAGAGAGGTGTTATTATTTAATAAATATATAATAACCTAAACCGGAATTTTCCTTTTCTTAGTTTTAAAAGTACACTAGGTCTATAAGTTAGGCTTAAGAAACTTAATTTAAAATCAAAAATAAATTGAAAAAAATTTCGACTCGTGCTGTTGCTCTACTACTTGAGCTACCGAGTCCTACACCTCATCGTCGAATTTTTTCAACTTATTGATAGATGCATCTCTCGCGCAATATAATTTCAACTTTAACACTTGCGTATTAAGGGTCCACGTCTTATGCTTTGCAGCTTAAAAAATCATTGAAGATATGTTAAAAAGTTATAACATTTGAAAACTTTAATATTTTTTCACATGTTGTTAACACAAAATAAATTGAAAAAATGTTCGACTCGGGAAGGACTTCAACCGGCATCGTCAGCGTTTCGTGCTGTTGCTCTAGCAATTGAGCTACCTTCATGTGCAATAAATAACATGTGAAAAAAATATTGAAGTTTTTTAAACCTTAAGAAACTTTTTAAGTTTAATGAAGTAACTTCAAACGTCTTAAAGTTCTTAAAATCATGGCAAACCTATAAGCCAAGTCTTTTCTGGGACAAAGGACATCATACCACAGAATCATTAATCATTAGTGGCATTTCTATCAACACAGGCACTAAGGGTGAACGGGGTTCTCCCGGAAGAGCTGGAAGGGATGGAGAACCGGGTCCGCGTGGACAACCAGGCTTAGATGGCCACGATGTTTGTATAAAGATGTTGTTTAAAGCTATTCGGTTTTATATAGATTATGAGATCCAAAGTGGCCTAGTGTTCAGATCACTATTAATGTGAAAAAAATTAACATTCTTTATTTTATGATGGATCACAACGAAATCAAAACTTAAAAGGATTCAAGGCGTTATTCTACTCTTGCTTTTTCAATAGTATAATAATACTATTATTGAAAATCCATCAGTTGAAAACAATATATTAAATCAGTTACTAAACATATGTCTTTTAACTACAAAACATATCATTAAAATAAAACGTACAAGTTTATGTAACGCTTTCATATGCAAACATTTACTTAAAATACACCTAAAATATACAATTAGGGTTTGCCAGGACAACAAGGAACTCCAGGGATACCGGGTATACCAGGTGAAAGAGGTCTACCAGGAGAACAAGGAATAGCTGGTGAGAGAGGCCCTGAAGGCTCACAGGTAATCAAAGGTTTACTTGTGTCACTGGCATAGGTATAGCATGGCCCTTGCCAAAAATATGAATAAAATGTTTCTTTATAGGGCCCAGAAGGTCCGCCAGGACCACCCGGTCAAACCGGTGTCCCAGGATTATCCGCGACTTCTGGAATGCCTGGCCCACCAGGTATTCCAGGGGAAAGAGGAGAGGTGATTATATATACCATAATATACATAAATTCGAAACGTTTAATTGCATAGGAAATAATTATAAATAATTGTCTTTTAGAAAGGAGATGCTGGTCTTCCCGGTATGCCTGGTAGAGATGGTCTCGATGGTATACCAGGGGCTCCAGGACCAAGAGGTCTACCGGGTCCTATTCCTCCGAGGGAGGTCATTGTTGAGGTAATATAAAATATGTTTGTTTAAAGCCATATTACTACCTACGCATCAGTTACCAACACCACGACATGAATATGATAAACACACAAAAATTTAGTACGAATCTGATTTTAGCATCCATCAGTAACTGAAGCCGAAGTAAGAAATATCTGTGAAGACTTAATAACACGTAAGTAGTACTTACATAATTATTGTAATATTGTATTAGCCAATTGCTGACACTTCTTTTTTAATTCTGTAATATTTCTTTCGCTCTCTTGGCTATAACAAAAAATATTTAAAATTCTAGTCTAAGTCTCTGTTTACCCGTAGAATACAATGTTTAAATTGATTCCGCCTTTATGTTTCAGACCGATTCAAAGAATTAGCTGATAGCCTAATTGTTGCCCCACCTGCTGGAAGTGTGGGACGACGCGGTGCCCCAGGCAGACCCGGGCCCCCAGGACCGCCTGGTGAGAACCTATTTTAGACTTTAAACTGTTTTCCTTTTTCAGCAAAGACTTAGTATGCTTTAATAAAAATATCTATCTGAACTAAATTGTTATCAAAATAGAATTATTTGTTAATTTTATTTACTATTGGGAATTTAATCTAGAAAGAGACTATATAGAACGGTATCGAATGCGAACCTCTTCTAAATTCCAAAATTGTATAATTGTACTCATTTTACATGAATGTAGTTCCAAATTTCGTTTTCAGGTACCCCTGGCGATGCAGGGCCTATAGGCCCACGTGGATATCCCGGTGAATCAGGCGAGCCAGGTCGACCGGGTGAATCAGGTGTCAGGGGAGAAAAGGGGGACAAAGGTGAAAGAGGACCTGAAGGAATCGGAATCCCGGGTATTGAAGGACCTAGGGGACAACCAGGTACTATAAGATTCAAGTTAAGCCATTTTCGAATTTGGGGAGCTTTCATTGACTGTTGAAATGTATTATAGGTCTAGTCGGCCCCCCAGGGTCAGAGGGACGAAGAGGGGAACAAGGAATTCCAGGAAGAGAAGGTAAGATCTATCTCTACCTAAAGGCTATATATGATCGTCTATCATATCTTTTACTTATTTCGTCTGCGTTAAGTATACCGCAGACACAAAATTACAAGTATTATTAGGATATCATAATTATAAATAAAGCTAAAATTTACAACTATTTCCATTATCACATTTACATTGGTTTTCAGTACCTAATCGGGCGTCGGCCTTGGGAGCATGATATTAAGATAAATAAAAACATACTAAAGCAAAAAGAAAATGTCTGTGAAAAAGTGGTAAACTTTTTTTATTAAACCAATGATTATTTGATGATACCATTATTTCCAGGTCCCATTGGCCCTCGAGGAGTACCTGGTCCCAGGGGGTCGTGTGACTGTCCACTGCTCTCTTACTATAGTTATCCTCAAATAATGGGTAACATGAAAGGGCCATAGAGTTTCAAAATACACTTAAAAATGACGACAGTATTGATGGAAAGAACGCCATCTAAACCTATCAAGAGTCTATAGAAGTGTTCCAAAGTAGGTGTTACCTCTGTGGCACCTCATCGTCAGTTTTCTTACCGTAATACCAGCTTACACCAGTATATCAATAAACATTAGGTAAACTCAATTTTTCAACAATTTACAAAAAAAATGAAACTATATAATTTGTAAATATTATATATTTTAACGTGTACATAAATATGTAAGGCTAAACAAAGATATAAAATAAACCATACGAATGATAATAATAAATTGGTCTTCAGTGTTTTATTTATATGTAAATATTCTTCAAAGGTCGTAAAAAGTAGAATGGAAAAGAGAAACGGCAAGAAAAATAAGTTCCTTTTAAATTAAAAATTCAATAAGCAACGTAATTCTCAAAGTTAGCTTAAGCCATTGTTTAGTTGTTCGTTGGTTCCATTTCTCTAACAGTGTCAATGTCAGCCTTACAGAAGAAACACTGCTTGCTATTCAGAAGATGTTGCATTATACAGGCCCTGAAATATCACATTTCGAATAGGAAAAATAATTATTTAAACCTACGGATATCCGACGTTTCTCCATAGAAAATAAGATATAATTATTCCTTAACTTAATAAAAAAGCCTCCATTAAGATTAAGGCTCGTTGTATTGTTCATAGTTTGGAATCTAAAAAAATAACGAAATGTACTTGCCTTGTGAATACTGAATTAAAAAAAAAAGAAAATTGATGTCCATTATGATAACAAACTGTGAATTTTAAAGGAATTAAATATATTTCAACAATCGGAAAAATTTGATAGGATTGACAACAAGCGTTAAAATAAAAGGACACGAAACGAAACGAAAGCAAAGTAAAATAAAATAAAGTATACTAAGATACACTTTATTATCTTCAAAATTTTAAAAATTGTTCAGATTAGTCAAAAAATTGTCGTTATTACATCTATTAACTAGGTTTGGTAAATAGGCTGATTAAAAAAAAACACATTTATAATTTAAAACGCGAAATATATTAGTTACCTTATAAATTCAATTTGAACTACGGCCCGACGTTTCTAAAATATTCCGCGTTTTTATTATTATTTAAATGTGAACAGACAATGTTTGTTACCTGCAAGAGTGATGTCCACACGGTACGAAAGCCGTGTCTGCTGGTCTGGCATAGCATATGGTGCAAAGGAGATCCGACTGAGCGCCACTCGACCCGGGCGACTTTGACTTCAAGTAATTGTCGCGCGATATTCGCAACTGTTCTATTGTAGCTTCTAACGCTTTTAGTTCGTCTGCTTTTATGTCATCGGGATCTGGTGGACAACAAAAGATAGTAATCGTTCTATAAGCAAACTGTTTCACCGTAAAATTCGAATTAAAAACAAAAAACCTCAGCATGGATCAATAGGTAAAAAAACAGCTCAACTAGTTAGAGCAACAGCACGCCATGAACGCATGTTCAAATTCTGCCCAAATCGTAAATATTTTTTAATTTATAGTCGATTTTTTGAAAAATAAGTTTTCAAATGTATTTCACATTTTAAACTGTCAGAATCTTTTACTCAATAGACCCAGTAACTATACGTGTATTAATTGCTATAAAATGGTATACAAACTAACATTTGTAGAAGGAGAATTGTTTATTGTTCTTAGATAGCATAAACTCCAGACCATCCAATCTGAACAGCGGTTCTGTTACTAGTGACGTCTTCACCCTATTAAGGTGCTGAAATAACATTATCTAGCTTCAATATCGTGAAGTAAGTATAATCGTGGTCCTAAACATGTAACCTTTCTCCACGCCTGATTAGATTAGTAATACCTCATTAGGCAGCTTGGGGTCTAACATTCTGATAACGCAACCAGCAACTGGCGCCAGTGCCACATAGTAGTGAACTCGATCAGTGTCGGGCAACCCTCGTGATACCAGTCTGCTAAAGCCACCGCTACCACCACCCCGGACGCAGATTCTGGACACAACAGCCATTAGGATCTGGAAAGTAATTGTTGACACCTTTTAATGAAGTGAACACAAGAGGCTGTAAATAGGGCAGGTTTAGTAGCCCCAGACGTAAAAGAAGGGGTGTCCCTTAGTAATCGAAGATTAGCAAACAAAATAAACGTGTTTTAATCGTCTTATATCGAATCGAATTATTAAATCACGTCTATATCTCGGAAAATTATTTAAAGATCAAATATTGGTAAAACGTGCATGGCACGCTGTTTGATGTGTGATGTGTTTGCTGTTGATCTTGCCTGTTTCATCGATTTTTCAATGTATACTAAATATATATGTATGTATGAAGAGTTTGTTTGTACGTTTGAATGCGCTAATCTCAGGAACTACCGGTTCGAATTGAAAAAATATTATTGTGTTGGTTAGAGCGTTTATCGAGAAAGGCTTTAAGCTATAAAACGCGCTGTGCCTAATAGGGGAGCGAAGAAACAGTGGAAAATGTGGAAATAACGGGGAAAATAATTCTACTTTGTGGATTCCCGATGCGTACGCTGCGAGAACAGTTTAAGACACCAAAAACATATGTTTTAATGGTTTATCTTTATATGATCTAAAAATGTCCGCGGACCTATATGTCTATCTTTTAACTTGCAATAACGATGGGACGCGACGAACCTTTTACGAGTAAATATGAAAAGAAGGTTTGCAAAAACCAATTTTGCCGCCCAAAATAACTATTCTACGCGGACGAAGTCGCCGGCACAGCTAGTTTACAAATATACCTGACAAGTTCTTCCCAATAATAAGTCGTTTTGATTATCGCTAGCTTCCGGTTGCGTGAGTAGTAACGGCGCTAGGCTCAACGTCATCTCCAGGGCCCTTGCCAGTCCATGATAGAGGTCAAAGCACGTAGCACAAAGTTTTATTTGACGTGGCTCCAGCTGGGAGTCCACTTGTATCCTATCCATCTGAAGATAACATTCCTTTAAGTACAAGAACGGTTATGGTTTTGTTAAATAATTCGGGCCCTTTTATAAACCGTGTTTGCGGCCTAAGCTAAGGGTGCCGCCAGGGTTGCGTCGAACTCAGCTTGGACCACCGCAATGCGGGTGGGATCTTGAAGAGGTGAACGGAAGCTCACCCGGGTGAGCGGTAGGCGGAGGAGCAAATGACCTTGCTTTCACCGGCAAAGGCGGTCTCGCGGACGATCGGCGCTGGCGCCCGCAGATTGCGTCGTGTTAAGAGTATGGGATTTGGTTAGGTTTTCGTCGGGGGCGTAGTCTATTAGCTATTATATACTTTAGTATACTATATAGTAATTCGACCTTTAATACACAACGTTCAAGTATTCGTTAGGAAAAGCAAAACACAATTCAAGTTAGTGTCGAACAAATAATGAAATTGTTTTTATGTTACCAGTTTAATAATATATATTAATAATCTAACTGTAATTTTCTTTCTTTGTTACGGGAAGTACTTAAGTTAAACGTTACTAAATAGATTACTTATTTAATTGTCTTGACTCTTAATATAATGTAATTTTTGTAATAGTCCCATTGCCTAATCTGAGCTCACTCTTACACTACCTCTTGCATCATAGTGAAGAACTCTGAAAACGCCCAATTCAACTGACTCAGAAGAGAATTGAGGTACAACGCGGCTTCTTTTGGATGTGACGCCAGGTAGTCACCGATTCGGCTCTGAATCACCTCTGACGGACACGGACCTATATTTAAAAGTTATTGCGAATTATTTTGTTAATCGTTAATATCACTGTATTGGTTTAATTTCTGTAACTTCCGTACATTTAAATATATAAGAAACATAAATTAAAACAAGATGCCCTAATATATTAAAATAAAACAAATTTAAAACGCGACATATATCATCTTATTATAAATTTAATGTAACTATGGCCCGACGTTTCGGATGCTTTGCCGTAGTTAAATTGAATTAAAAATATAATTCACGTTTTAAGCGGTCAAAAGTATTTCTTTAAATGTGCACTACTCGCGTAAACTGTAGACAGTGCTAAAGATACATTACCGAAACACTGGCTCATGAGACCGGCGTCCACTTTTGCTCCCAAATTATTCACGGTCGGCTCCCTGTCTCCATATCTGAGTAAAAAATTAAACTAATAACAGACTAGCATGGGGCTCATTCCATCGTGATATACACACAGCCCATGGCGTATTCGGATAAAATATTTAAAAAAAAATATATTATTACTACATTCATTTGTTATATTGCTTTATATTGAATGCGAACATTATTAAGAAAACATTTCAGATCAGGGCTAACACGATGTCGTGTATAACACGGTAGCTCAATTGGTTAGAGCAACAGCATGGAACGCTGTGGGAGACGGTTCAAGTCCTGGCTGTGTCGTAAAAATACTTCAATCTATATCAATTTTTAATTCATATCGTGCCATCATGTGCAATATTAAAGTTTCCGAACCGTTTTTAACCGAATTTGTTGATGCTTACCTTGCTGCTAAATGTGGCCACTGCCTATGTCTGAAGCCAAAACCTGAGCCATGCCAGAACCGAACTAGCACCCAATTCGACTGCGCCCATGCGCGGTTCTGGTACGGCCGTACCAATTCCTCGATCATACTCATTTGTCTGATGAAAGGTGAATTAAATTAAACTATTCTTTAAAAATGTACGAATCCGACATATTAAATAAGAAAAAAAAATCATATACTGTTTATAGTTTACGCGAGTAGTACACATTTCATTAAAACACTTTAAAACGCTATGTATATTAATTAGTTTTATTTGTCCCCCATGACCATGACTGCTGCAAAGCATCCCAAACGTCGGCCCTTGATTAAAATAATTTTCAAGTAAGTTCATAATTTTTAAGTAAACCGTTAACGTTTTTTTTATTTAAAATTTCAAATGTTTATATGACCCTTTAGAAATAAGATAGATAGGTGATACTTAAGATTTCAATTCATTAAAACAAACATATTTGAATCAAACACTTTAACGGTTTCAAACACGAAATGTATTAGTTATTTTATTTTAACTACGGCCCGAGATTTGACTAAAACAACCGCGTTCTAAACAGTTATAGGTGGTATGTTTAAATGTGTTCTAGTCGCGTAAACTACAGACAATACTTAGACAATCACTAGTAAACTAAGTCAATGATATTAAAATAAAACACTCCCCGTGACCACGGCTGCTGCAAAGTATCCGAAACGTCGGGCCGAAGTTAAAAATCATTTCCAAAAATATTTAACTAATATATCACGTTTTAAACCGTTAGTGTTTTATTTAAATGTGTACTACTCGCGTAAACTATAGACAGTATTCAATGATATGATTTATGTTTTTTATGAGTAACTGTTTCTTTTTTTAATATAGAGGAGGACAAACAAGTATGGGGTTTAAATAAAACACTTTAACGGTTTAAAACGCGATATATTAGTTAAACTTATTTGAACATGATTTTTAACTTCGGCCCGACGTTTTATTTAAATGTGTACTACTCGCGTAAACTATAGACAGTATTTAAGTATGGGGTTCTCTTGATGGGAAACACACCAGCCATATAACATCTAAACAAGATGTGCGGTCGACCTATTTTGGCTAATATACGGTTAGGTCAGTTGTAGGTAAAAGCGATTCGAAGTTCCTTTACGCTATTTTTAATAACACTACGTCAAGAGAAGAGAGAAACTTTGGCGGCGAGTTTCTTGCCAGTTTTTGATTTAAGAACTATTATATATATTTAGTTTTGCGACGTTCATACGAGTACACTAGTTACTCACATGAATATATGGTTTTTGACTTAGATACTCTGAACTTACTGTTTCAAGGGCACTCGTTCTATCGCTCTCATCGTCGCCGGTTGTGTCGCGAACGACGCCAACGTCTGCACCAGAGACTCCCTGGTGCTGGCCAGCACTATTCGCGAATCCGCAAACTCGGAGCAGAGAAATGCAGCACATGATACGACTAGTTCTTCCCATTCTGCAATTAATTGTATTCAAAAAACTAAACTACCTCGCAGGTATCATGATTAGTATACCCGACTGGAAATCCAGGGTTATGCATATGAAGAGATCCATGACCCCGATGACCCCGGGATGGGCGAAATTATATATGTATCTAAGAAAGTTTATAGTACTAGTCCAACTTGGGTAGTAAGAGGTTTTAAATACTGTCTGTAGTTTACGTGAGTAATTACTTATTGAAATGAAAAAATAACGGTTTCAAACGCGAAATATATTAGTTTAACTTATTGGAGAATTATTTTAATTGCATATTTTTTTAATATTAATATTTCGCGTTTAATTTTATACCGTTAGTGTTTTTGCTTTTTCGTTTACAGCAGCGGTGGTCACGGGGAGACGTCGAAACGTCGGACCGTAGTTAAAATAATTTTTAAATAAGTTAAATCAATATATTTCGTGTTTTAAACCGTTACATTGTTTTATTTAAATGATTACTACTCGGGTAAGCTGAAGACAGTATTTAAAATCATACCCAGAACCTAAAACAAAGACAGTATAATTGGTATAAAGGACTAGGCTAGAAGAAATAAAGACAGATACGCACCGGCGACCTGGTGTATTGGTACTGTGGGGTGCATGTAAAGACGAAGGGTATTACATAACTCTAGCATAGCATCCACGTGATAATCAGGGATGAACGCGAAGAGCGACTCTGCAAAGTCGGGACCGGTTTCTGGAACGAAGGATACGGTTCTTTCTGGTGATGAAGTAGGGAAAATAATAAATATATTCTTTCATTTTTAGTATCTAATGTTGTTATAGTGACATCGGGTAATTGTAGAATATTTAAATGGTCACTAATCACAGCCAATGACAAACAAACAAATAGTGAAGTTTTAGCATTAAGGTTCCTTCTTCACCATATTGCTATTAAACCCAGAAAATACACTAACGCGTGATATTTTTAAAAATTCTATCAACTATAAAGATTCTATGGATTTAGACAATTTATATATTAATGACATTTATTTTATAATAAAATATAATAATTAGCTCACGGTTAACATCTGTCGGATCCATGTGTGTTTGAGATTCAGCGCGCGGTGTTTCCGTTCTGGAGGGTGGGCTCTGTGGACTAAACGGTTATATTGATCATTGCGAAGACAGTATAATTAAGATTACCTAATGGTAGTAGTAGTTTATGTCGACTTGAACACCCGGCTTTCAATTGGTGAACTTACAGCAACATAGTACAAGACGATAGTGAACGAAATAGATATCTGGAAGAGGTCTAATGCTATAATATATGGCTAATAATCTAACATCATTCATCTGAAATCGAGTCACGAATCACGGTCCACAGTTAAAAAAGCCATGAAATGTAATCTTGCCTCGGTTTCAGTCTGTGTCAATGTTCAAAGTCACAAATAGATCAAAAGCGTATCTTGGGCCTTGGCAAAATTCACTCTAGCTGAATGTGGAATATTCCATCAAGGGAACCCCATGCTTGGCTGTACTCCTCTGCCATAACAAATTAAACAAACTCACCCATTATAGACTGCCACAAAAGATAAGTTTTCACTTTGTAGGTAAATAGTACAATTACGTAAGTTAAAACATAAATTTTTGTCGCATGAAAAAACAATATAATTTCAGTCAAACATGGCAGAGAGGTCAGATCAACTTCTTCTAAAAATATATATTGAAATAATTCTAGCCTTATCTCGACCTTATTTTGTATCCACCAATAAACTGGGTCAGAGAAAATTGAAATTTCTAATCGTGAACATCAAAATAAGAAATGAACCTTTGATCGGAACTTGAAGTGTACTCCAGCTGGAGAGACGCGTAGCTGCCCTTGCCCAGAAACGAGCTTTTTCCGGGCAGAATTTCCTTGCTCGCAACCTTCAATAAATTATATTTTCCTTACAACAAAAATGTTTATATTACATAAATTACCACGAAAATAATTTAACACAAATTATGTTTGATGTTGAAAAAAAACTCAATTACTTAATAATTAATTTAATAAAAAATATTACATTTAATAATCCTACTTGTCTCCCTGTGCACGATGCATTAGTTCGACGCTTACAATTACATATATTGATTAATATCCCATGCTAAAATGGGTACGACAACAGTAGCGTCACATACCGATCGCACGCAATTTCCCCGTAGTGGCACAGCTTAGGGCTGTCGCCTAATAAAGTGCAGCTTAGGGCCGGCACATAACAAACACGTAAATATTTTTATAAATTTTCGTTAAGCCTGAGAATGACTTTTATGTATTTTTGCCTCTAACACTTTATAAAACGTACTTGTATGCTAGCGTAATCGGGATCCGAGGCCATTCTCAAAGAGTGCAAAGTACCCGCAAAATGTTTCGCCAACTCCTGCTGTCTCTGCTTAGTCCAAATGGCTCCGATCACCCAACCCATCTGTAAGGCGCTTGCTTCCAATTTCTCCTATAACAATGTAATAATTTATACATTATAATACCCATTTCGTAAGAAGTATCCTTTTAACTTTTCAAATTGTATTAGTGTAAAAGAATTTTCTATGTAGTCAAGTTTATTTCTAATACACTGGAAGAGATTGTAAGAGAATCCTAGTGTGGAGGCTTGGTACTCCCAATCCAAATGTAAATAATATTTATTGGACAGCGAAGATCTAATTTCTTCATTCTTCATTTGAAAAGCAACGAAAGACGTAGAAGGCTCTAATGTTTTTTTTTAATTCTTATCATTATATTACATTTTGGCTGATGGCTGCTAAACAGCAATGTTAAAAGTTAAGCGCAAAGCTACGCTGTCCTTTAAACCTGAACTAAGAAAGCCATCGTCTTACCCTTGGTACCAAAATAAATGCCTCTTCCTTTCGCAAAACTCACCTCATAAACTTCTTTCGATCTGTCCAATTCCCTGAATATTCTCTCGGTCAATTCTTTCCTGATCTTCTCTTGTTCAGTGAGTTCTCCATTTACACCTGGTGATCGACCAATATATGTATATGTTAACTAATTGAATTTCACCTGTATCAATCTTTAGTTCATAGTATCTTTTCATGTATGTGAAATTAAAAGTAACCTATAAATTGGAGTTCTACGGACACCGCGTGCATTCTCTGCTCAATATCGTGAAGACAGTCAGCCAAGTCCAGTTGGTTATCACGAAGTTCACAAAGCTGGAAATAAATGGAATTGTTCCATTACCACGAACACTTGATTCAGCGCAATATGTGATAACGATGTTTTAGTGGTCGCAATTAAATATATACACGACCCGACGACGAAATCATAGCAATATTTAAGAGTAATTTTAGTGTTTTAGATTAACATTAAGCAACTTTTTACAATATTAACATCTTCGCAAGACATGAATAGATTCACAAGAAATTGTTCATTACAATTTGAGTTTGAGTCAGGTGGGTTTAACTTTTTAAAAATCTAAAATAGATTTAATTTAAATCAAGTTATCAAAATATGCTATAACATATGGGATTAATCATTCTTCGATTGTAATTTTCTACCTTTTCAGCGTGTTTTATAGCAGCTCCGTGGTACAAAGCCAGAAGACCATCCAGCAACCTCAGATACGCAGATCTCACGTCGATGGAGCCAGCGCCAGGCATCATCGATCTGGTGCCTTTTAGAGCTAGCGCTGTCTCACCAGTAGTTCTAGTAGTTTTTAAGTGATTATTAATTACTGCTTACTACTAACAATACATAACATTACACATATTGTTAGTCAATTAGTCAACTATTTAGCAACTTAGATATCTTGAAGTTATTATTGATAGGCACTCATTGGTCTAATGGTAGCAATATAATATGGCTAATAATAATCAACGGGTCGGGGGACCCAGTGGGGATCGAATTCATCCCCATTGGGTCGAATTTGTCTGGAAATCTAGATACTAAATGGGTGATAGGAATATCTAACTTTAGCCCGGGTCACGAACCACCGTCCACAGATGAAAATGCCGTCAAGTTTAATATCGTTTCGGTTTCAGTCTCTGGATTTCCGAATATCCAAAGCCAAAATATAGGTAAATAGCGCATCTTGTTTAGATGTTACATGGCTGAGGTGTTACACCAACGATCTAGTGAACCACACGCTTATCTGGATATTACAAAAAGTGATAATAAAACACGATATTCAGATTTGCTTCTATATGTGTTTTTAACATTTGCTTGAAATAATCGTTCAAGTAATTAGTACGTTAACAGACAGTAGATAATTATATTGATACCTGTTTGGAATAGGGGGCATAGCTCCATGCATGAAACGGGCCATTGAAGATATGACCTGCGGCAATGTGGCCAGTCCTGGTGACCCGGCAGCCATGTCGCTTACTCCCGTATCAATTCCACCACCCCTGTTATAATTCGGCTCAAAGCTTTGGACAAACGGATTGTCTTCGCCCAGAATGTTCACAAGATCCTGTCTGAAGTTGAACAGTGCTTACTCAATTCGTAATATCAAAGTGTTTGATAATGTATACTGATTTATTAACTGCAAAATAAGTAGTGTCTGTAGTTTACTCGAGTATTCCCCTCTCTACTTCTACTCTATTAACCTATCAATAAAATTCCTATAAAATATAAACCTATTAATAAAAATAAGTTTCCGATGCTTTGTAGCAATCGTGGTCACGGCGAAAACAAAAGATGGAGATGGATGGATGTATTGCTAATGTCAAACTCAAATCTGCTACACTAGCGCCGCCTGTTTCGTAGTTGGTATTTGAAGAAACTGGCGGGGTTACAGAACTGTGTCATCTTATCTATCTTCTCGTTTATGGGTATGCTGATATTTTTTAATGAATTATGGTGGACCAGGATACTGATCAAATATTATTTTCCCTCGTATGGCTTTCGTACCGTAATGTCCTCACCAGGAAGGGCAAAACACCACCGAGTCGGTCAACGTTGTAGAAGTCTAGCTCTCCGTCAATAAATGTGCGCGGTGGAATGTGAGGAGGAACGTTCCTGGAAAAACTTATTCACATCAATACAAAAAGAACATAATACCAAAACGATACTAAACAAATGAATGACGTTACCTTAAGCATTTACGTGATTGTTATTCAATAAAACAATGTTTAACGGTTTTAAACACTACGTCTTCGCTACATTCGATTTGAGACCTTAATTATTAAAGAATTTTTGGTTTTTATCCTGATTTGCGCAATTATATATTAGTGTAACTAAAACAATTTTAACATTTTTGGCAACGCTAGTCAGACACCGGTGAAAATGTATATTTTTGAATACTGCCTCCCACTTACGGATTCCCCAGCGGGTCCTCCAGCCAGAGGCAACTGACAGCCGCCAAGAGACGAGCATAACAGCACCAAGAGATGGCCGGTGCAATCCTCATCTCTCTGAACAGCAACTGCAACAACGCTCGCTTTACTTACGTGCTGCCGAGCGGGTTCTCCTGCCACAGCCGGTTGACAGCTGTCAAGAGGCGCGCGTGGCAGCACCACGAGATGGCGGGGGAGTTGCGGGACACATTGAACAGCCGCTGGAACAAGCGTTCCTGGACATTTCTAACACATCAGACCTCGCTACGTCAAGCACGAGGATATACTATTCTTAAGCGTAAGAGTTGCCTTGGATTTGACTTTAGCTATACCTTTTTAGATAAACCATATCATGTTATAATATACAGTAGTTGTAGGGTCTTTTGTAGGTAGCCTTTGTTTCTGCGAGCACATCCTCTCTCATATCAAAATATAACCTTACATTTCTCCAATCCTGGATTCGAATATTGGACCCTAACTCTTGTCGAGTACTTGTAATATTGGACCCTAACTCTTGTGGAGTACCCGTTACCACGGCTGCTGCAAAGCATCCGAAACGTCGGGTCGAAGTTAAAAATCATTTTCAAATAAGTTTAACTAATATGTCGCATTTAAACCGTTAAAGTTAGCTGTTTTGCAGCTTTTATTTATTTCATTTTAACAAAATTACCATGTCCAGTATGCAGTTGTCCATGATGTATCTACGAAATTTCTCCAAGAATATCTTCCTGGTGGAGGGCACCATGTTCGTGCCATCAGTATTGTCGAGTAGCATCAGAAGAAACTCCAGCTGTTGAGATATTGATGCTGTTATCTCAGTGACAAAAAATAAACGAAACAGTAATATTACTTAATACAAAATTAATACTACACGTTACTTGTGCAGCCACCATATACATTCCATTGGTGGATATACATGAAAATAATCTATATACCTACTAACATATAAAGCGGAAGAGTTTGTTTGTTTGAACGCGCTAATCTGAGGCAGTACTGGTTCGAATTGAATAATTCTTTTTGTGTTGGTTAGAACATTTTTCGAGGAAGGCTTTAAGGTTATAAAATATCGCAATCAAAGAAACATTGGGAAGTGAGGAAAACCGGGGAAAATTATTATTCATCCTTGTGAGTTCGCGCACACTGTTCAAGATACGCAAACAATATTTCAAAGGATGATTCCTCTTTAAATGACCCAAAAAATGTCCACGGCACTAAATGTATATCTTTTAAGATTAACTTGCCAGAACGACGAGATGCGCCGACGTCGTAGAAAACAGGTTAAATAAAAAAAAATTAAGATGAGGCTTATACAAACAAATTTGGCTGCCCAAAATAACTATTCTAAGCGGACGAAGTCGCTGACACAGCTAGTATATGATGTTTTTAAAATACATCAATGATGACAAAATTTAGGCTGTTACAAACATGCTTGAAAATACCGATATCGTAATTAGGATTGAGACTATAACAGCTTATAAATATTGCTTAATTAACTGAAGTCACCGGGGACCGTGTGTTCGACTTCCGCGTGCGTTATCAATTTGTGTAAGCATTCATGTGCTCAAATATTTCGCACCTGAATTCGCTCCAACGGAGCAATCGCTTTGGTAATTTTATCGCAGTCCTCTCGATATTCCAATTCTGTTTTCGTGTCGTCCTTTGTTGGGGCTCGTAGTCTTGATATTTTATCTGAAGAAGGAAGAACACAGCGTAATTAATGATCATATAGAAACGAGATTTAATAGAGATAAAAATAAAAGTCAAATAATCATAGACAATAAAATGGGATATAATTCCCAAAAAGTATTCGACCAGGACCACGGCTGATACAAAGCATCCCAAACGTCGGGTTATATTTAAACGCGTTTTAAACTGTTAAGTGTTTTATTCCAACGTGTACTACTCGGGTATACAACAGGCTATCCATAAGCAAAACCAGGCCAATACTGAGTATTTTGTAAATACTTTCGTATTATTATTATATAAAAGACACTAATCTTGTTTTATTTAGTCTCTCATAGCCCCTGTCTATATTTAAGACTTAGCTAAATAGTTCTAGCGGGATCATTCCACCCGACGTGATATATCGGGGGCGAAATTGGAAATCCTTTCGAAAGACCCCTTTTGGGCCTTTTGCCCAGTAATCGGTATTTACGATCTTTTGACGTAACGAGATATCGCTATTCAATGGCCCGAGATTTTCCGGTTTCGGGAATCTTTTGATTTCTCTTTACTTTGAAAAAGATATTTACTTTCGGCCGATGTCCGTCGTTTGTCTATTGAAGACTTCAATATAACTTCTATTTGTGTATTTCCTATATCACGTTTAAGCTCCATTCAATTAATAAATAATTAAATGGGTATCTTCAACGAGACGTGGCTTCAATCCCCACCGGGACCAACGTTTTTCTAATTAATTTATATTTTTTCATATATATTATATTGAAATGCGTCTAGTAATCTGGATATTATATAGATGGGAGGAATATCGAGATTCCGTCCGGGTCACGAACCCTGTCCAGGTGAGAAAAAGCCGTTTAGTTGAATCGCGTTTCGGTTTCAGCCTATGTGCCAATTATCTAAAACTAAAATAGGTCGACAGTGGATCTTATTTCGGCGCACATTATTATGTCTATTATATATGGCTGGGGTGTATCAAGTAAACCGCACCCATGTTTGTCCTCCACTTTCATAAAATGGTGGTAACTTATTCAGTTGTCTAGTGGTCAGTAGACTCAAGGAACAAGATTTTGTTTTGTTTAATTATGCGAACAGCCTAGTTGTGTATGTACAGATGTATTGTTTGACTTTAAAAAGATTACCTGTGTCACTAAATGGGCATGGATTCCGCCCAATTTCACCTTTCTCTGCCATTTCTGTAAATAAATATCTAATATCATAAAAAAAGTCTATATAACATTCTAGAATAATACACTTTTAACTGTTACGCAAGTAAATTAGTTTACCTAATATATAACTTATTTATTAGTTTTCCTAACATCAACTACGACGAAACAGATGAACACGCTTTATCTTCAGTCCCCCCGTGACCACGGCTGCTGATACTAAATTTTTCATGTGTTACCAGCAATTCGAGGATCGGTCTCCCCATGAACGGGGGTCGGTCGTTGCCACCACGGCTTCCGGATCACTGTCTTCAGCACGCTGTCATCAGGACACTTGATGTTCATAAAGTTGTCAAATCTGAAAAATTGACTGCTAATACTGAAAGAACTATGAGAAAAACAAACAAATGTCGCAACAAGTGAAGGTTTGGAAGACAATTGAGAGAGATTGGTCAAAGAACAAAAATTGAGTCTTTGGCGTCCGATCCCCATCGGATTCAACATGCTTTGAATTAATTTTCGTCTTCGACTGGAAATCTATATATAAAATGGAAGGTAGAATTATCAAAGATACAGTTGTTTTCATCTGAAATAGAAAAAAGACGTGAATTTTCATCGTGTTTCAGTTTCAGTGTGTACATTTAAAAAGCGCGTGTTGTTGAGATGATAGATAGCTTAGCTATTTGACCTTCCATCAAGTGCTAATTGTATGCCTTTAAAAAAGTCTTCATAAAAATAAGGACTAACGTAATCTTGTTGAAGAAAACGTATTTGACTAGATGGTGCCTGGTCTCACGATGCTGCATCAGACCGCACAGAACGTAGATACCTTCAATTTGCTGCGTGAAGTTCATATCCTAGAAAATAATCCTTGTAGAGAAATCTTCTATATGTAATAATAAAGTTTATCTACTCCATGTGTAAAATTGTTTAAATACAATTAGAATTTAAGTTTGATATTATTAAAATCTGAGTCACAGCTGTCATTATATCTATACTAAAGCTTAATATAAAGCCGAAGAGTTTGTTTGTATATTTGAACGCGCTTACCTCAGGAACTACTTGTTCGAATTGATTTTTTTTAGTGTTAATTAGAATATATATGGAGGAAGGCTATATTATATGTCTACCTTTTTAAGATTAATTTACAAAAGGAGGGACGCCGATGAGGTCGTGGGTAACGACGGTCGAGAAGGAGGTTTGCAAAAAGAATTTTTGATGCCTAAAAGAACTTTTTTATATGCGGACGAAGTCGCAGGCACAGCTAGCTGTCCTGTATGTCTATGTAATACAGAGACGGGCTCAAGTTACTGTCCCACATCCCATGTAAAGAAAACTATTTATTACTTGAAAAGTGTTATAGTTAATTCTATTGAGGTAGCTCCTAGAACAGCTGTCTTCGTGTATTCTAGTGAATCCTTTTGAAGAGGTGACTCACCGGTGAAACCAAATCAAACATCAGGCACTCTCTAACGACACAGTGCTCAAGGATATCGCATAGAGCAGCTTCATCCAGAAAAGTCCACAAAAGCTCCAATAACGTGCAGAGCCGGGGCTGAGGCTGCGATAGGAACTTCTCTGATAGTCCAATCTGTTATAAACAACACATTTTGCATGTAATATATTTTCGTAAAAACTTTCTCGTTGTTCTAATGTAGCAATGTATGGCTAATTATCAATAAGTCGTGGGTTTGATGCCCAACGGGTCAAACATGTTTCAAATTTTTCTGAAATATTTTGGATTTCGTCTGGTAATCTAGATATTAATTGGGTGGTAGGCGATATAGCGTCCGGGTCACGACCACAGATGAAAAAGTCGTCAAGTTTAATCGCGTTTCGGTTTCAGTCTGTGGATTTCCAAATATCCAAAGTCGAAATAGATCAACAGCACATCTTGTGTAGGTGTTAAATGGCTGGGGTATTTTACCTTCCATAGAGTGAACCACATGCTTATGTGCCCTCTTCTATCATTTAAAAATTGATAGTGGTAATATTCATTACTTTGTGTTTTAACTACGGAAAACGAGGTAAACCAAAAAAAGATAAGCTCAAAAGCCAAGTTTTGCCACTGCTGCTTTAAACAGTTCGGCACACGTAATTGAGAAGAAGTTTTCGAAAATTTGCCATCACGAATCGGGGAACGGGTGGCATCATCAGGAGATAAAAACTTACTCAGTTACTCTTCACTCAATGGAGAAGCGTCCGACAGAAACTATTTTTATGATTCCACAGCATTCAAATCCAGAAGCTTACGTTGAACATCTATTATAACCAGTAGGGAGTACTTACAAATCCATTCTCCTTAGCTTTCACGAAGAAATCCATCGCGTGTTGCTCTGGCACTTGTCCCTTTGAGTGTAAACCTAAGGCCACACGAACCCTGGGCAACAATTCTGATACAACCACATAGGAGAGTTTGAGGACTGTGCCGAGTTCTATCACCACCAGCCGAGCTAGAGACATGAGGAAGGCCTGAAAAATATTGTTTAACGACTTTATGAATACGAATATAAGCCCCCCATTGTGTGTTCGTCCCATGTTCCTATCGAACATGGGGCGAACACATTTTGACCGTGACCGTTTTATCAATAAGTTTTACTTATAGGATTTATATACCTGTCAGAACCGAGAGCCTCGCGTTTAAACAACATAATGAAACTTGAAAGATTCGAAGGAAGATTTGAAGACAGATTAGTTCCCTCTGCCTGGGACTTACTAACACTCGACCCTAATCATTTATACTTAATGATTTACAATGTAAAAATTGTGAAACTCACTTTTCTCGACATTTTTTGCATGTCGTTCTTCTGGACGTCCAGCATGTTGTGAGGGGACCCTCTGGGGGTGTACACCGAATTTGAACTGTGGATACGAAGCGCGACTTCCTCTTCCATCTTCGAAGAGTTTGATTTAGTCTAGAACAGAGGTCTAATATAACTATCTATTTAAAAAATCCAATACAAAATTAAAGAGATATATAAAATATAATAGCGTTTAGTTTAATCACAACTTATTAAAAGTACACACTATTAAGTTTTGTAGTGGTAGTCATCTAGTTTAAATGAAACAATTCTCACGGTTTAAAACGGTTAAGAAGGTTTTATTTAAACGCGCAATACTAACGTAAACTGCAGGCAATACTTAAGACAATTATCTAAATGATATCTTCTAAATTTAAATAATATAATTTACCTCTTATCATATTAAACTAATAAAAAAATTTACAATTTCATTTTAATTTACATAAAACATTATTTTTCTTCCGTATTATTCTTTCATATATAATATAAAACCTTGCTACTTTTAGTTGTAACCGGCGCCATAAGATCAGGCAAGCGTGTCAACTCATCCAATATTGCATCGACAGACTTGAAGAGAAGCGCTGCTCTTGCGCAATCGCGGCCAGGGGCAGCTTGGAGCGGCGCAAAGCCCTCTATGGGAAACCTAGAGAAAAACACTTTAATGTGACGACGCTGTTGTTTTAAATCTCATTAGTTCGTCGAAATAGAGTAATTCTAGTAGTCTTTGTAATTTCTAGTAGATTATTAATTTAATCCAATTACAATGATTCATTAAAAAAAAACGTTTGTTTAATAAAAAAAGTTAATGTGTAATAAAACGAATTTAAGTTATTATTTTTTTATTTCTTATCTCTTTCTTTTTAACATTTCTTTCTATCCAAAGAACATGTTTAGAATTTCGTTCCGTCTTTTCTTATAAACAATTGACGACTTTTTAAGATCATATGACGGTGTATTCAAATAAAACAACAACGGTTTAAAACTTTAAACGTAAGTATATAACTTATACTACGCGTTTTAAACCGTTACTGTTTACAACTTGTTTACAAATCATTTTTAACGGCACTACGGCTTTGACTTCTCGGATGGTTTGACGTTGCTTATTTGTAAACAAGTTAAACTAATAATTATTACATTTTAAACCGTTAAAATGTACAACGGGCGTAAACTAAAGACAGCATGTTGATGACGATGTGTTTCCTATGCTAAGTTCGATTAAAGTCCAACTAATACTCACACGAACGGCACATGCCCGAAGTTGGCATACAAATGCTCCTGCATGGCTAATGAGACCGCAGGGAAATACGCCAACCCAGTGCCGTGGGTAACTTTGTCAAACGCTACGCCGAGGGTTACTCCGTTCCTGGAAGTAACCACTAACTTGCTATCTCCACATTTCATCCTATCTCGCGCAATGTAATTTCAACCTTAACACTTAAATCTTAATATTTTCTAATTTATATAATCACGTATATGTAAAATAAATAATGTATTTTTAGGCTTTTTGTTTGTTATTCACTTATCTATAGAAGAAACAAACAATGAACAATCTATACTAATATATAATGCCGAAGAGTTTGTTTGTTTGTTTGAACGCGCTAATCTCAGGAACTACGGCTTTGAGTTGAATTTTTTTTTTTTGTGTTGGTTAAAGCATTTATCGGGGAAGGCTATAAAACATCGCCATGACGAACAAGCGAAGATACAGTGATGTGAAGAAATTTGAAAAAAATATTTATCATTATGGGTTTTCTAGGCGTACGCTGAAAAAACGGTTCAAGATACCCAAAAAATGTGTATGACAGAATTAATTCTCTTTAAATGATCTAAAAAAAAGTCCGAGACGCTATATGTTTATCTCTTAAGATTATCTTGCAAGAATGACGGGAAGGGACCCGACCGACGTCGTAGGTAAAAACGAATTTGGATGCCCTAAATAAGTATTCTACGCGAACGAAGTCGCTGGCTCAGCTAGTACATATGGAAATGCAAGTTCAATATATTTTTATTTATGCGATACATTTAAAGACCAAGGTTACACACCTGAAAAACTCTAGCGTGCCTCTATCCAGGTCCAAACAGGAACCTATGACGTCACCAGGCAACCAGGCTACTCCGTAAGGCGACGTGGCCACGTTCCACTTACGCACCCTCCCTCCATCGTAACCATACGAGTTGGCCGTGTCACCGACTCCAGTGTCCATTGAAAAGGTACAAGCGGCCGTGCACCACCCGATCTGTGTGACCGATTGTACGCTTATTAAACGTCCCCCCGTGGCCACGGCTGCTGCAGGACATTCGAACCATTGGAGGTAGTTAAATAATATATATCCTGATTTAAATAGTTAAGTGTCCGCGTAAACTACACACAATACATAAGCTACCTTGTTACTTATTTGAAAGTGAATAATGTTTAATTAAACACTGAAAAAGGGAAATAAATCATCTAATGAATTCCTAAGCGTTTTATTTATTGTGTAACACATGGGTAAACTACAAATTATAACACGAAATAACGCTATAGGTATTATTTATACATTTACGCTATTATTTTATGAAGTTAGTAAATAGAGAAAGTTCGTCTTCCCTTGTAAGGTGGGGGGCGAATACATATCTGTGTTCGTTTCAGTGTTCTGTCTTACTTACTGACAAGTAGTTAGTTGCGCCTTGACCGAACGCTTTCTCGGGATTCGACTCCGTTTCAAATTTAGTTAATAGAACAACGATATCACTCCATATTATAGAGTGGTTCACAATTGAAATACCTTTCCATACCATAAAATAATATTAAAAGTCGGTCAACCATTAACATTTAGTCAGTGTCTCAGCTTGACCACAGTTGACACATAACAACAATTTATTTGGTTTCCTTAAATTTGAAACGAAGACCTTTAGCGCGGTCACCGATGCATACATTGACTAGAAAACTTTCGTAAACACCTGCATAATACCCTTCGTTCCTAACTGCACCTCGTACATCCATTTGCCAGCATAAACGCAGGCTGTTGCCTTGATGGTGGCGAAACTCGACAGGCCTTGGACGCTGACCCTCTCGTCACCAACCAGGACCAGACGACCGGTGCCTGTTTAAAATGTATATGATCTAATGAGCTGCGTTGGTTTATTATATAAGCGCCTAACTATCACTTCGACCGAATTCAGGTTTAAATCTAGATTAACAGCCTACAGTACTCCATCATCTGAATTTATTATTTGTCAATAATAATATGATGACCACATTAACTATTCTATGTGGGCACAACTAGAATAAATAATAATATTACACTACAATAGTAATGTAGTACCTGTTGACGCATCGAACACAACAATTTTCGGCCCTATTCGCCCAGCTCGATCGTCCGTTGACTCTGTTCCCTACAACATAAGAATACTGGTCAAGTACAAGTCGGTGTCACGTAAGCATCGCTCCGAACTATTTTTCAATAAAAAACTTTTAACGGTTTCAAACGCGAAAAATATTGGTTATTTTCTTTTAAATTTATTTCGACTACGGCTCGACGTTTGGGATTTTTTGCAGCAGCCGGGGTCAAGGTGGTCTGAAGGTGTAGGGTGGCCCTAATGTCAAAGTTAAATCTACTAGAAACTGGCTGTCATACCCCGTGGCCACGGCCATTACAAAACCGAAACATTGGACCTTAGTTAAATAATAAACTAGAAAGTGAAACCCCGTTTCCCCCCGTTGGCACAGGCCAAACGCTTATCTGTATCCGTTTAACTAATCGATTTTATTTAAAGGCAAGTAGTTGATCCAGATTTATGTGCTCTGCCCGAGCGAATCTATTGTTTCCCCGGGATTCAAACCCCGGGACCTCACCCTTAAACGGAATGCTAGACGCGTTTAAACATTTAGTTACAGAGGCGGAATTTTAAAAGTATACTAAAGATCTTTAACTAAATTAAATAAAACAGGTATATCGCTGATATAGATTGAAAATATAAAGTAACATGCCTATAATACGCGGGTAGTTATAAAATTACCTCGTTAGCGACTTGCGGCTGTTTCTTTGACGATTTCGACTTAGGACTGAGTAACTTAGCGTCCAGCATCTTAGGTAGATTATCTCGTATATGGCTTACATATTTCGTCCTTCTGAAAATAAGTTATTTAATGGTATGTCCATTTTGGAATCATTATTTTTTTTTTTACAATTGTTGTAAACGCCACTTGTAGAACAATTGTGTAACTACCTCGTAGTAATCTTACATTAAATCAGAGATATTGAAAATTTTAATACATTTTATTGCAATTATGGCTTATATAAATAAAAATTAAAAAAAACAGATTACACCTACATAATATGTGCATATCACACATATATTGTTATATAAAATCTTAATTAAAATAAATGCTATTTTTATAAACCTTATAATATATTCAAGAGTTGCACCGAGCTAAATATTTATGTAGAAACTTATAAACGCGTCGGTAAGTTTCAAACACACTTCATTTATAAACACAGTTAGGGGTAGAATTTCGTGAATATATTGTTTTATGGGATAGCTGCGTCAAACAGACACACACACTAAGTGTTTAGCAGGTCATAAAGATCAGCAGTCAAAGCTTTACATTGACCTATAGCATTATATGTTTAGATAGATAAAGATACAACTCACTGGTTATGCCGATCCGTATTATCTTTCATAACTAATTCACTTCCGAATATCTTTTTAATCATATCGTGCACTTCCCCCTTCTCCCCGGAACTGCTGCAAACCCCGAACATAGACCGGAGGACGTTCATCATCACTAAGTAAGTAAAGAAAATATAAGGTCATAAAAACACCGATTTGAACTGTCAACAGTGAAACTAGAGTATGCTAACAAGAAGGTTGTAAAAAAAAGTTTGTATTAACGAATATGACATTTATTTATATGTAGTATTGTAAACTTTGTTGCATAATCTGTGGTTGTTAGGATTTAAAAATTATCGAATAAAATAAGACGCGAAGTACATCACTAAATTTATTTTTAACTACGACTTGACGTTTCGTATGTTTGTAGCAGATGTGGTCACAGGTCTGTAGTTACAAATAAGTTTAATTTACATTATGGCGGTAAAAAAGTCAATATTGTTTTAAAGAACACGAAAACATATTCGCACTTTTCAAACACTTTTTTTCTTTGTTCTACATACATGATACAGCAGATGACTCTTTTTTATTTAACTTATTAAGGTAGTTGTTACACACCGTTATACCGCACTGGTGCAGCTTGGTGGAACTAAGCTCTTAAGGCGACTCTGTGTGAGATGTTTATAGATCCTGCCGTGCATTGTTATGTATTATTTGACTGCAAAAATAAAATACATTTTCAATTTTACTACTTTAATTATCGAATATAGAGCTTAATAAACTTCTAACAAAATCTAGGATCTTAACTAAAGGGATTAATACATTTCACATAATTAGTCATAATTAAACTTCGACCTTTTATAACGTTGGAATGGCAAAAACAAATGAAGTTATCTTTGCGTAGGCGTAGGGTTGCCTCCGCTTTGGAACATAATATATTATTGTTATTTATGGAACAAAGAAAACACTGCTAGGTGGCATTTTAAATTTAGAAGTGTTTTAAATGAAACATGATTGTTAAAGAGGTTTAATATAATAATTTCATAGATTTGACTTTACCCTCATTTGAATAGTGACGGGCGATGTCTTAATTGAAAAACAAGTGGTTTGTCCTGTGAAAATTGTGGCCTAACCTGTAGGTGTATATCTAATGTAATATGTTATCTTTTTATATAATGTGTTTTTTTTATGTAAATAAATTTTACTCTGTCGAATATAGGAGTTTGAACCCATAGTCCCCATCAAACACGTCACATCATTTGCCTGTTTGTCCAGAAAATGCAAACCCGAAGACAATAAGGAAGTTGTCCATAATTCGATGATACCAATATAGGGCAGAATTATAGAGATTAGTGTATTAAAAACTATATATAAAGAAAATAATATTGAATTTAAGTAAATTGTTTAAGGTGAAGAAATTCTTCAACATTATCTAAGGAATATAAATTACATATTACCTAAATAATATAGACGTTGGCAACCCTAATTCTACAGTAAGTGGCAAAGTTACTCCGTGTGGGTCGGACGTATTTTTGTCTAACTTGGTCCTCGGAGATACATTGTTGGTAATTAAGCACATTTTCTTCACATAATTCTCCTTAAGTAGACGGTTTTGTTAGTTGATTATAGCAGAGTTGTTTAGATGAGACATTTAAACTAAATCGTCCTAATATGTGGCGTTATGTTAAGTGAAAAGAGGATCTGAGATATGTTTTTTATTTAGAATGAAAAATTTTTTTTCGATTTTTCTAATCAACCTAACTTCTGGTGCTAGGTATCTGAACTGGGTAGTAGAAGTATGGAGTTAAGTTCAGAATTCAGCAGTGTAGATCTGATTAGCGTGAGAAATGAATATGTGGAACTCTTTCAATAAGGCATTTTTTGACAAGCTGTTGAAGACGAGCAACCAGTTGGTGGTCAATAATACAATTTTTTATTAAATTTCATTTTTCAGCAAGTTGATATTAAATCATTTTTAAAAGGAAGAAGAAATTACGGCTTCATTATTATTATAGGAGTATCGAAATTAAGCCAAGTCACGGTTCTATAAATTCAGTAGTCAAGTGTCACCTTGCGTTACTGTTTTAGCCTTTGAAAAAGACACATAGGCCGGGAGCGCATCGTATTTCAAATGCTTGGGCATTTCACTCTCCACTAACAGAACCTCATTCTTGTCTGTCATTCGATATCATATAAATATGGATTTAATTTCATAGACACAACATAATTAACTTGGTTATATCTATACTAATTAGAGTTAATTTGTTGGAGCGCTAATCTCATGGTCCAAAACTTCTTTATGTGGAATAGACCATTTATCAAGTAAGGCTATAAGATCACGCGACCAACAGGAGCAAAGAAACAAGAAAGATTCCTCTGTAGTCGGTAGTAAGTATTTTTTAAGAATAACTCGCAAGATCAGCGAGAAACCGACGACATCGTGGGTAATAAGTATAGTTTATAAAGTGGAAGCTTGGAAAAATAAGTTTTGATGCCCTATTAAAATAACTATTCCACGTGGAGGACCGCGGGCTCAGCTAGTTAATAATATAATTATAATGTTCCCAATTAAATGTCGCTCCGCTGTTACGTAGCGGAAGCATTTGGGAGCTTTAAGGACGCCTGAACATTAGCGAATAATTTTGGTAACATTGTCATAAATTTATGTAATGAATAGGGAGGAAATATTATAAGGTACAATTGTTTAGATGTTAAATTAAAATATGATTATAGATTGAAACATTTTTATGACACTGGCGGGACTTGAACCGGCATCTACGTTGTTCCGTGCTGTTGCTCTGGATGGAACGCCGGATGCCATGGATGCCTTTTCAAGTCCTGGCCGTGTCGTATTTTTTTTATCTATAATCGATTTTTAATTTATGTAGTGCTATGGTTTGCAATGACCCCTTTCTGTAGCCAAATGGTTAAACGTATTACCTAGCATTAATTGCGTTAAGCGCGAGAGGTCCTGGGTTCGAATCCCAGGGACGCAAAAAATTGTTTCGGTCAGGCAGGGCACAGAAGTCTCATCAACTACTTGCCTGTTAAAAGAACGGATCAGTGAAACGGACACAAAAATGTGTTCGCCCCATACCCCACGAGGGGACAACTGGATTTCACATAACATCATGTGCAATAACTTGTGAAATATATAAAAGTTTTTAAATGTTTAGATTCTGTTATATAACCTTCGAAAACTAATCTTTATGGATTTAGCAGCATACGCAACGCAGGCTTACTACAGAATATTTAAAAACATTCTTTATTCGATCAACTTTCTTTGTATAAAATGCTCGAAGTCATCCCAGACAAGCTATCTAATAAAGAGAAAAATTGTTTCCTTCTTCAACTTTACAGCCTTTAGTACAAATATAAAAAAGCCTTACTAAATTATCTCATAGCGTGCGCAGAACATAAACTATGCAACTTGACACCCGAGCTCCTTTGTCGGCGATTATGAAAGTTCCTAAAGCATTTTCAACTTTTAATATCCATGGAGCTTTATCTGTGCTCACACTAATGCATAGTACAGGACGAAGGTAAAGCTTAACTCAGCAACGTTTTAATCGACTATACTATACGGCTTAAGTTAATAAAAAATGTGCTATGAATGTTATATATTAATATAATTGATATTATAGGTTCCTTATCTTAATATACAGCGTTTTTGTAATAAATTATAAGTTCTTATTAATTCCTTGGAATGTACGTATGAATACCGAATAAAGTAAATAATGAAACTTTTCTTGCCATTGCGATGATTCAATTTTGCCGTTACTATGTTAGACAGAAGCAAATAAAAGTAAAACTTTTTTAATATCACTGCGTGGACTTCACTTTTTCGTAAAACAAGGATATATGTTCCTATGTCCCGTTGGGCTTAGCTTTACAAAGTTTCTAAATTTAAAATACTTTTCAACTTGAGACCAGCCATGTTGTTTTAGCTGATTCATGCCGCGGGAATTACGTTTTAGGTCACATATAAAAAAGTAACTAACTACATTTGGAATCGACTGTATAGGTATCATTTTAAAGTTCTATTATTAAACAAAGCAAGTATTTGGCATATTCAGTACAGTAGTACCTGACCATACTTACTAATAAACAAAACATCATTTCCTCTATATAACATTTTATGCTGTAATTGAATTAAAATGTAAATAATTAATATATTTCCCGTTTTAAACCGCCAAAAGTTTGAATAAAACACATTCCGTCCTACTTTAAGCGAAGTAATTTTTTTAAAGTTTTCTGTATGAAGTCAGTTATTTTTTGCTTAAAAATATTTTATCTTACGATTTTACGTAACGAGTCTCTTATCAATATGATTAAATTAAGCCGTTGAGGAGTTAGATATGTCTCTTATTTTCATCATCAGACGGACAATTTGAGCTACTTAATACAGAAAAATTACTCGTAGGTTTCACATAGCTCTTGGTAACTTACATATTAGCTGCATCTTCACCAAATGAACGTCCAAATTTAACGGGCACGTCGGTATGTGTAATAATCAAAAGTCCTTAGGTTCAACCGTTCAGGTGGGTGCCCTCCACTAGTTCCAACATTTTTCTAATTAATTTATAATTTTTCTGAAACACCTTGGACTTCCAAAATTCTGGATATTAAATGCGTGGTAGGAATATTAAAACTCCGTTCGGGTCATAAACTGTCATGGACGGGGGTCCACAGATGAAAAAGCCATTTAGTCGTGTTCCGGTTTCAGTCTGTGGAAATCTGCATATTCAATGCCAAAATAGGTCGACATTGTATTTTGTTTAGATGTTATACGGTTGGGGTATTTCTTCTTTATCCTTCACTCATCGTCAGTAGTTAATCAAAGTCAAATTAATATTCTAGTGACAAGCAATGTACCAAATTGTTTCCACTTTCACAGTTTCTATGCACGACCACACTGTGTTCGGCCATCTATTATTGGAGATTAATTAAAATAATACCAAAACACATTTCTGTAGCTTGTAAACATGGCTCGCGTATGCGGTTATTTACAAATCATAGAGCAATAATTCCTGTTTTATTGCCATTTCAAAATAGATGTGCGAGAACGGTTGAAAATGTTACTTTAGATCCATAGACTCTACAATTTAGGATATGGGATATTTACAAGTCTTTTACGATTTTGTTCAAACTTTGTTTATGTAAGTAAAATAAT